TCTTCCTGTTTGTCTTCAAATTTTTTAACAACCCGTTAAACCGCTCGAACCCGAATAGCCAATAACCGTACACTGGTCCAAAATCACGAATTGTATCTCGAAGATGGAGGTGTAGGTGCATATTACAGGTGAGGATTTCGGCGTTGTACAGCTCGTCACATCTGGTGCAAAAAGTTTGAAGAAACTGATGGGCAGTGTTGACTTCATCGAACGTGATCGTTGGCTTGATCAACAGGCGGCATGCATCAACAAAGTTAATCCAGTTTTCGAATCTGTCTTTTGCAAGAACATCTTTCAACAGAACTGGCGAGTATACGAGCACCCATGACTTCCACTCGTCTGCCTTCATATACGAAAACTGCTTTCCTATTTTCGAGTTCAAAGAGGTGTATCCACCAGGCACAATCATCGTTTCTGCAGTCTTCTGCATTGCCGCAAAATCGCCATCTTGAATGTCTTCGTCTTTGATCCAACGATCCATCAATCTTTTAGGCGTTCCCAGGAATAAATTATGCATGGGATCGATGATCGTTCCACGTACTAGATCAAGGTATCCAAGGCGATGCAACTGCGACCATCGAACACCATTTTCGACCTCCAGCCGATGCCTTTCTGAGGGGGTACTAGCACTTTCCCACTCCTCAGCATGCAACCTGTTCTCTACACCGTCACGAAGCACCCACCGAGAGAAGTCAAACCCACGAAAGTCAACATTGACACCGTTTTCCAAGCGAGGGAAATGTCTGTTGCACTTGTAACATGCGCATGTACTGTTGTGCGAGGTGAAACCACTTGTCTTTCTTGCTGCCGGGATGTCACAGGCAACCATCATCAATGCGGCACGGACGCGGACACCACTAGGACACTCGAAAGTTGGGATTGCCAGTCCCTCATACAATCTTATCAGATCATCTACCATAGGCCGGAGATAATGGTTTATCTCTTCGGATTTGGGTTCCTTCGGGCCAGGCATCAATCCTACGAGAAGTGTGTTCTCTGGCTTGTATCTTTCATTGCGAGGCAGATTGTTTACTACCAGGTATATGGCACCAGTCGAGTGCGTGACGTTATCGAAAGGTTGAAACCAGTCGATGTTGAGAGTCAACATTAATGAACGCGAATCCTTTGTGAATTGCACGCCATCTTTGTCTTTGAGCTCCTTCCACATGGCACCGTCGTATATGTCACACATCGTATCCACCATCTTCAGCTCGTGATTCCAATGTCTAATTTTATCCTCGAATCCTGGACGAAGAAAAAACATTCGTAAAGTATTAACGACGGACTGGTACAAGTATGAACGCTTGGCCACCAAAGCACCCGATGCTGATGTTTTCGTCAATTGGCAGTTGCAAGACGAGCGTGCACCAAGCTTTACGAAATCGCAATGAGACGGGACAGATGCACTTTCTTCGTACACATTGTGACAATCCTGACACACAACAAATTTCTTTATGCCTTTGGTCATGGCTGAGAAACCTGTCATGCGCTGAAGACCAGGAAGGCTCAAGGGCAGTTGGAAATCCTGCTCGTAAATTGTCAAAAGCTTGTTGATGAACTCGATCAAGACAACGGCGCCCTTGTCAACCACATAGCGGGAAGCGAACATCACCACAAAAGTAGCAATGAACCTGTGCACTGGGTTCTGGGGCATATCGGGGGTGGCAAAAGGGTCTATTATAAAAAAAAATTAACGCTTTTTTTTTAAAAAAATTTTTAACACTAACTGACCTTCACTATTCAATTCATTGTCGTCGAGCTCAATAACATCGTCTTCGCTTTCGTCTTCACTGATTTCATTGCTGTTGCTTCCACTGTCATCATTGTCGCCATTGCTGATCGCGTCATTAGTAACGGAAACGTCTTCAGTGTCAGACATTGAAGCTCCTTCCCAAACAGGTGAGTTTGTCTGAGTGTACGATTCTTCCAGGGCTCCGGGTTGATGGGTTAAGATAGCTACATTTAGAATATAACACTTGGTTAATATCTAACGGTATCTGAATTAAATAAACCTTACGTTCATCATCGACCTCCATCATATTTCTTTGGGTAGACATGTCTATTACAACACGTTATTTCATGGATTACAATACAATTAAATAAATTCAAATATTGTACCCCTTTCACATCTTATGGCATTTAGTCTTGCCCTTTTGTTATGACGTTGAGCAGTTCTTCTGGCAACAAAACTATAGCCGAGATCGTTCTGACTACATCCAGCACAATGGCACTTTTCGTTGTAGAGTTCAGGAATTGTGGACATAATGTTTATTTATTTTTACTTTGAAGTGTTAAGAGAAAAAGGAAACAAGTACAACGTTTACTAAATTTACTATGTCTTTATAATGAAATGTTATGTCTTTATAATAATAATAATAAATAATATTTTCGCCTGTTGTATCCAAGCCAATAGAAAACCGGAAAACAGTGTTTTCATCTTGAACACACAAAAAAAGCTGAGATGAAAAAATACCCCAGATTTTCTATTGTTATAATTTAACTTTGTACATGGTAATTCCCGTATGTTTTTCTAGTGTACGTAAACAATACCATTGAATTTGTGGGAAAAAATGACAAAAAATTGCTTTTTTCGCAAAAATTTCCTTTTTTGGTTAGTCTGAATGCACCTAGCGTGAGAAGTCTTGGCATTTTTAGTGTGGGAAGATAGGTTATATAAATAACAACTATGTAAAAGCTTGGCATGGAAAAACATTTAACTTTAATCTATCAAAAAGCCGTTCCGACAATAATTAAATATATCTCTTCTAATGAAAGTTCAAATTCTTACTAAGTAATAATTTTTTAATTTTTTTTGCTATATAAAGAAAATTTAGTAGTATAATATAAAAGTATCAAAATATGTAAAGAGCAAGTACAGAATTAATAAAAATTAATTTTCATATTTTTTTACTAATTTTCTTATAAAAATCAAAATATTATTATATAAATCAATAAAAAAATATATGAACAAGTCAACTTATTAATATTTATTATAATTTTAATGTATTTATATACTATATATATATATATAAAGATTATAAAAGAGTTGTGAATATATATAAAATTAAAGATTAAATATGATTAGAGTATGTAACTTATATTTGACGAGATGATTGGATATGACTTGGATATTGACAAGTGTGAATATATATAATGTGATAGATCTAATGGTATTGACTAATATCAGAGATAGATAAGATGTTATATGCTAATATTAGTAATAAATCAAATGTTATTGGCTAATATTGATTATATATTATATTTTATTAACTTATATAAGTAGTAAATTGGATGTGATAAATATATATATATAATATAAATTGACTGTTATTGATTTATATATATATCAGATCAGATATCATTTATTTATATATATACTAGATCAGCAGTGTTCAGCTTATATATGTATAAGATTGACTGTTATCCACTTATATATATATCAGATTGGATATCATATGTTTATATATAGTGCAGATCACCTGTCATCAGTTTATATATATACCCAATTGGCAGTTAACAGTTTATATATATACCCAATTGGTGGTCAACAGCATATATATATATACCAGATCGACTATCATCAGGTTATATATATCAGATTGGATGTGATCTATTTATATATATATCAGATTAGCTGTGATCCACTTTTATATATATCAGATTGGATATCATATGTTTATATATAGTATACATCCTCTGTTATCAGCTTATATATATACCCAATTAGCGGTCAACAGCTTATATATATACCAGATTGACTATCATAAGCTTATATATATCAGATTGGGTGTGATCCACTTATATATATCTGATTGGATATCATATGTTTATATATAGTGTACATCCTCTGTCATCAGCTTATATATATACCCAATTGGCGGTTAACAGCTTATATATATATACCAGATTGACTATTATCAGCTTATATATATATCAGATTAGCTGTGATCCACTTATCTATATATTAGATTGGATATTATATATTTATATATAGTGTACATCCTCTGTCATCAGCTTATATATATACCTAATTGGCAGACAACAGCTTATATATATATCAGATTGGCTGTGATCTACTTATATATGTATGAGATAGACTGTCAATAGCTTATATATGTATAAGATTGGCTGTTAATAACTTATATATATATATACCAGATTGGTGGTCAACAACTTATATATATACCCAATTGGTGGTCAACATCTTATATATATACTAGATTTGCAGTCAACTACTTATATATATATCTGATTGGTGATCAACAACATATATATATATCTGATTGGTGGTCAACAACTTATATATATACCCAATTGACAGTTAACAACTTATATATATATCAGATTGACTGTCATCAGCTTATACATATATGAGATATGCTGTCAATAGTTTATATATATGTCAGATCGGCTGTCATCATCTTATATATAAGATTGACTATAATTATATTATATATACAAGTTAATCAATCATAATTAACTTATATATATATGAGATTATCTATAATTGATTTACATATAGTGTCAATTGGCTGTTGTTAACTTATATAATATTGCATAATCTTAGATATTTATAGGTTGAATGAAGGTTTATGGGTTTTTTAAAGCCAGATTTAAGCTACTGATATAGATAATATCTCTATGAGTTTTCAAAATCAGATCAATGTTTTTAAGCTAAAAATTAATCATTTTTTGTGTTCTATATATCTGTGTTTTAATATCTTGTTTTTTTAAATTACTCTGCAAATATTTGTTCTATAATAACGGCAAAACCGGATTTGGATAGCCTGAATTTCGTAGATATTAATTAATAGTTGTCACATTTTGGTACTGTTTTTTGTTGTGAAGATAATGCAGTTTCAAAGTTTATGTATGAATGGTAACAAATATGCTTTTGAATTAAAGGCAATATATAAAAAATAATAAATGTTATGACTATATATACTTGTGACCTACTTGTTACAGTTACTGTTTGCTTATGCAAAGAGGCCGGTTCGATTCTAGCGGTATACATTTTGCACTCTGTATTTTTTATTTTGATTTGCTTTAAGATGTAAAGCTTATCTTATACCTATTATTAGATGTTGAATGATGTTATTCTTTTGATATATTTGAATAAAAATGTATTTATATTTTGTTTTTATATTATCGTTTTAATATTATTAAAACAAATTAATTTAAATTCAAATTTCTTATATTTTTTTATTACATCATTGTAGAATCACTATATTCTTCATCTTTATCATCTTCTAAATAGTCATAATTTGTAAATATTGGGTTGTCAACAATGCTTCTAAAAGAAACCTCAGTTAACGTCTTTAGTATTCCTTGCCACAATCTGTTCTCATATTTTTTCTCCTTAAGAATTCCATCAACATCTATGGCACCATTTGTTTTGTTCGCAATCTGGCCTTGCAGTTCATTATTATTCCATTCCACAGACCTATGTAATAAAAGTTAATAAAATAATTTTGTCTTATATAGTATTTTAACTTCTATAATATTGATATGAATACCATCAGATATAACATACTTAACATTGTGATTGACTGTTCTATGAGTATAGTTCATATCAACTACTGATGTCAACCCCCCATATGCAGCCCAGCAATCTGTGTGAATAATGCTATTGGGCTTTACATGCTTCTTTATCACTTGAAGGAAAGTTGCAGCATCTCTCTAAGGAACTGTCACCAAAAATGTTTTTCCTTCTGCTGTTTTCTTAATACCCCCCAGAACCTAAACACTTTCTACTCGATGTCCTCAATAATATTTCCTCTTTCCAAATTTGCTTTCATCAATTTCAACAATAATGGATTGACTATTGGCATCAATACGTTCTATATAAATATTTAATATATCTATATATAATTAACTCTTACAAACTTACCAATTCTTATATCATTGTTTGTTAAATCCATTTGAATCAATTGGTGAATATTAGCAATGAAATATCTTATAGTTTCTGAAGAAACACCGAGCATAACTCCCATTGTCATTCTAGGAATCCGGTTTAACCAGTAATATATTCCTTGCATAACAACATCATAGAAAAGATGTCTTTGTGCAAAGAAAGAATCCAATCTTTCAGATTTTCCTTCTCTTTTACAACATGTTGCTCCCATGCTATTTACTCCACTGCATCTGTAACTGTAGTCTCTGCCCTTTTCAAATATATAGTCCATAGAACTGCCACCAGAACAAGTAAAAATAATATGATTTCATAGATATAAAGCACCCTGTGCAATCAAATATCTTTATATTTATTAAATATTAATATATAATAATTAAAAATAACTTTTTTACTTACTGTTTTGCAACTTTAGATGTATATGTTGATGCCATAACATAGCTCAAAGAAGGAATAGATAATGAACTAACTGATAAAAAAGATTTATTATTCATTTGAAAATAAATAAAGTAGAAATAAAAGAAAAGAAAGCAAAAAAAAACAAATGAACATAATATTTAAACAAAATAAAAGCTGCCAAAAAAACTTTGCTGTGATGTGGCACGTGACTAAGCCACACAAACTATTATTTATAAGATTATAACACTTAAAATAGATACTAGAACCTTTATAATTATATTTTCTCTATCAATTTGTGACGTTATGTGATGCTCAAATTGAATCTATATAGCTTATATTCACGGTATTGTTTTAAGTATATGAACCTCACTAAACGTCACAAATTGATAGAGAAAACAAACATTAAAATAATTAATAATAATGATTTAAATATGTTATATTTCACTAAATATTGATATTGTTGTAAATGAGTATTGACTACTGCTGTAATTGAGAATAAGTCTGAAGGAAATAATATAAGGTCTCAGTTATTCCAGTCAAAGGTGTTTACCGATTACTTTATTATTTAACACACAGGTTTAGCATGCATGATAGTGATTATATTTCATATGATAATATCACCATAATATGAGATACATCAGTGGATTATTATAAGTATAATTATAACTCATAAACACATTTACTTTCAATATTAATACTTCATTGGGACTATACACATTTATATAATTAATTATACATTAATTATCACAAGATCATGTTGCTCTGATTAAGGCTCAGATAGGATCGATTACCTGACCCCAGTCATATAATTTTCCTGATCCAAAATAATATAAATAGCAGTAGTAGTTCAGTGTAGGAACCTAGTCAAACTTTGATACAAAATCCTTTCTCAATAAACAAAACCTACACAAGTTCTCACGAATCTTTGTTCCTAATCTCAAATCTTCAATTCTTCCTCTTAAAAACTTCTTCAACTTCAATCACTACAACAGATATGTCTTTTGTGGGAATTGAACTGACGATCTACAGATTGCTTTATGACACTGTAAGCGTACCTACTTATTTCCTTGTGCGCTGAGTTTAAATTACTTGGGGGGTCTACTTTTTTATGTTGCAAGGGGCTTTAAATTATAAGGATGTGGCTTTTCCATATAGAGATTTTGCAAGGTGGCTTTTGTTAAAGCATTTTTTTTGCTATGTTTTTTTTCTTCTCTCCTCTTTATTTTAATTACATATACTATCATAATACGAGCTCACTGATGTCCAACACTATATTCAACCTTTCAAATGTGTAGAATGCTTTACTCAACTCACCTACAGAAGGAATAAAAATGCTTCCTTTGAATGTTGTAGTAAAAGTAAAAGCAAGTGAATGGGAGCTATGCCTTGACCGCATTCAATCACTTTGTTCAACAAAGTGGAATAAATGTAGAAAACTTCGTGCAAGAGAATTGATGTATGGAGAGACAAAAAAATGTCACCGAGAAGGATTTTATATATCAGACAGAAATGTTTGTTTTGCTCAGAAAGACACTAAGCTTTGTTATTGCGAAGTCACTATTTTTATCAAGCAATACATCAACAACCCTGAAGTAATTTTAATTTGTATGATCAACGATCATACCAACTATGTTTCTGGTGACGCTTCTGAAATTAGAACATTGCCTTTACCTTCTGAGGCCATCAAAATTATTGAAGATCAGTTAAAAGGGGGCAGCACTTGTAGAAATACTAGAATTTCAGTTTTGAAACAAATTGAAGAGTGGGGCATAGGCATTAGAAAGCCCAATTATGAAGACATCTATAACAGAATGAGAAAGATGTGTGAATAATACTATAAGAGAGAAGTTATTTAAAAAGTATTAAATAAAAAATATAGATGAAGAATTTTCTGTATAAGTTTCACCCTGATGAAAATAAGTCTCTGGATATTTGGATGCGTGAGAAGTTACCATCACAGAACTACTGTATCTTTTCTGGCGATCTTTCTGCATGCAACAACAATGCACAGCATTTTGCATTTGGATTTCAATCATCATCTCAAATGATGCTTATGAGAATTTCCGAGTCGTTTTGTCTTGATGCAACACACAACATCTCTGCACGCAACATTGAAATATTATACTCACTTGTTACTCATCATTCTGATACTGCAAAAGGGTCTTCTGTTGCATACATAATTACAAACGATCATAGTGTTGGCCCCATTAATCAATGGCTTGTACATCTTTGCAAGAAAAGCTGTTTCACTCCCTTATATATTACCATCGATTGTAGTATTGCTGAAGTTAATGCAATTACAGCAGCATTGCCACAGACCGTCATCCATTTCTGCAAGTTTCATATTTTGCATATCTGACAGCATAATTTAGACAGCAAAGTAAAGCTTGATGCTTCATACACATCAGAACAACCTGGCAAATACAAGTATGAGCTCAAGGTCAATCTCAGAAATATACTTATTGAATCAGATGAGGATGAATTTTTGAAAAAATCCAGGAGTTTAGGCATTATATACAAAGTCAGCAACAATTCCTGGCTTATTTCGAACATAAATTGATTGGAACAGAAGAATTGTTGAGAAGATGGGAAAGGCCATATGTTGCAAATGACCACCAAAGATATTTGACAAACAATTACATCGAATCATGACACAACCAATTAAAAACAATATACTTTGACCATACTCACATAAGATGATTGGACCGTCTTGTCTTTATTTTGACAAACTATGTGGAGTTCTTTTACAATGAAGAAGTGGAACAAATCCATATACAAAATGGACAAATGGGTCCGATTGAAAATGAACTTGCTCGACACTCTTTTTCTGCCAATACCATACAAGATGACATGCTCCCTTTCATGATCATTAATCATCTTAATGAGATTGGCAATAGCATGGAGGACTCTAACGGCAAGTGGACAGTAAAGTCATTTACAGGTGAAGCATAATGATATCAGATTAATGTATCAAATCGTTTGATACAAAATTGCACTTGTCCCAATTTTGCTTCACGTCAAATTCCCTGAAAACATGCACATCTCCTAAAGAGATTTATTGGTCTAGACTTTGCGTATACAGTTCAAAAGGAAAACAACTACCTCCAACTGCAAAGATCGCTTGCATCTGAGCATAAAGTGGCAGTTGTTAATGAGGAAGTTGAAAATGAAACAAATACAGTTGTTGTAAGTGGTAGAAACAATTCTGTTTGGTTGCAAAGAAACATGGCCTAGAATACAACACTTCATCATCAAAGAGAAGACTTAGAGCAGTTGATGGATGTGCCAGAAATTGATGAAGCCAAATTACAAGTGATTAGTGGTTTACTTGAGGAAGCAATGAATTGTATAGACACTCTTAGAAATGCAAACTCTTCCCGCTTTAGAAATCTTAATACACAAAGATAATAAAAAATTACAATTATGTTTTATAATAATATGTTTTGATAAAGAGAAAAAAAATGTAAAAAAAAACATTAAGATTCCAAAAGAAACAACAAAAGTAAACACCACCAGAGATTTTTGTTATCATTTTGGGTGAAAATTGGCACCTAAGCAATATGATTGGCTTACAGGCCAAAATATTGTAATTTGTTTTCGTACTCAATTTTTTTCATCCGAATAAAGGATAAAATTAAGTTCAGTACTACTTGTGGGCTTTTAAAGTAAGAAAAAAAACAGTTAGGGAAGTCAGAAAGTGTTCAAGTGAGACAAAGGATTTATTAAGAAAAGTTGGGGGTCGGTTTGAGTAACCAAAAAATGACTTCACAGAAATTACGCAAAAAAATTGATGTTGAGAAGAAGAAAACAGAAGGTTCAAATAATAATTATAATAATAAAGAAGTAGCATCATTTTATTCATCAAAAAGAATATTATTGAAAATGAACCAGTAGGAACCAAACTTGCTCAAATTTACAATGTAAAATGGGTTGCGGAAAATGTGCAAATCTAACTTACAAACGAGATTCATGTTAGCAACATCAGAATGCTCACCTGTCATTACAGCCTTGGCATAGTTATTGTTTCTGTCATTATCCGTACGAGGAACAATGCTAAGAAACTTAACAACAGAGCCTGAGACAAGTCCTATACGAGGGCGAGAGATTGGATCATCTTTAAAAACAAATGCGCCAAAACTATTGTTTTGGATGGCGTCATCTTCAATATCTCCAGTGTCGTTGTTGTCCTTTAGCTCTCTCGAGCCACCAAGGAAGGTGTAATAGAACAAAGATTCATTGTTGTCCTTAATGAACCTCTCTATTCCAGTTCCAGACATCTCTCGGTTGCCAGAGCTATTAATCCACGACCCGCCGTCAATTACATGTTGCAATGCTACCTGCTTTGCAAACTTTAGGCAAACATCCCTGGAAGTGTTTTGGCAATTCGTATGAAACAGATGTTCACAAATGTGCTTATTGAACTGTTCGCCCTTTTCTGTTTCATAATTGAGGGCTGGGCCAAAACGAATTATATCTTCCTTGAGATGTGTCAAGTAATGAACTTTCGGCTTGGTGCAATATGCCTTGTGGAGCTCGTTCTTGGTTCCTTTATTGTAGTCAAATAATGCTCTGATCAAGCACTTCACTGCATTATCTACTCTGATAATATAGTTATCAAAGTCTGATGCCACCTGACAAACAAATACCAGAGAACACAATTGGCCAAGTTCAATAAAGCATGGTATTACAAGGTCTAGCTCATGATTTCCAGAGAATTCTGTAATCAGAATTACAGGAAGTATTTGAAGCAGAACCTTGAAATCTCTACCGAGGAATGAACCACTATGTCTCAAGTTTTGGGTGAACTTTTTTGATAGACCAGTTGATCGCGTATAATCTGTCAAGAATTCTGAAAGTCTTGCTATTGTGGCTGTGTCATTCTTAAGCACGACTTTAACCAAGTCAATTACCATATACTTTGCAACACCAAGAAGTATTGTGTGGAGGATTTCCACTGGTGTATCCTTTTCTGGATCAAACGACTGCAATTCTAATAAGCGGTCAATCGAACAACCTCTAAAGCTTATCTCGTTTGCAGGCATGTTCATTCCAATTTTCGGAGCATTTGGGATCTCAGTGTCTCTGCCAGGTGACAAGTTTGCAAGAACATAGTGCTCTCAAGTTCGTCTCTCATGGCACTTACAGAAGTAAGACAAGTCCTTCACAAAGTCTTTTGCACGTCTAAGTTCGATGTAGCATCTTCTGCAAGGAAATGTGGTGGCTGGCCCAAGCAATCCGCAAAGTTCCAAATGACATGGCGTGTCAGCCTCAATTCAAAGGATGGGAGCAACAACCACAACATACTCATTGTCTTCAGCGGAGAACATTTTTACACCTTTCTCAAGTTTCTTAAAGTCATCAACGATTGCTGGCAGAAGAGACATACCATTTGCACCATCTTTCTTAGGGATTGTAGAAAGAAACTGGATGTTTGCTATCAAATTTCGATCCTTAAAAGGCAAGGCAGCGCATCTCATTAACCAGCTTTCAAACGGATTGTACTGCTTTGAACGATTGCTGGAAGTGTTGTCTGTAAAAAGGATGATTGAAACAATCCTAACTTTGTAAAACACTGCGTCGCGATCTACATTACCGGGCAAAACAGAAAGAGGCATAGGCTTCTTCATTGGATGAACTCCAAAAAGAAGAAAGTCATGAGCAGGACTCAATCTGGTAAGGCTACTTGAGATACTGTAGTAGTGATCTCTTTCAACAGGAGTGGTGTCAACGTGAGAGATCTGCTCTACTCTAAGATCGGTAACAGCAACCTCAACGCCATAGCATACAATCGAAATTGCTCTGACCAGATACCCTCTCGCAAAAATGTTTTTATTTGCCGTGTGGAACGATTCAACCAAAAAGCGGATGCTGCAATCGTTTGTCTTCAAGTAAACAATGTTTCCAAACCAGACATCTATACCATTTATAGTGTGCATAGGCTGCTGAAAGAGATGGTGGGTTCTCCACTTTTCACCTTGTTCCAAACAGATCGATTGGTTTGGGATACGATCGGGCATGGACGAGATCAACTTGGATTTCTTTGGGTTTGCCATAAGAAATCTCAAGTGGTCGGACGGAAGGTGAATGTGGGCAAATGTGTTCCCGTTTGATCCAAATACTGATATTCTTTGTGAAGGAAAGACAGGCATCTTGGACTTCTTTCTTGCCTGATAATTTAAAAGAGCATCCAAACGAGGTAACTTAAATATTCTTCCTATGGGAGTTTCTTGCTGGATCTTAATGATCAAGTTCATTGCAAGCAGTATCTTCTTCAACATTTGCTGGGAGATCATGTCATTATCCCCATCGATAAAAGCGAAAAGGATCATGGTTGGAAGATTGTGAAAAGGATAACAGCTTGTAGGGTCATTTACAGCACCAATTGTCTCAAAGACTTCTTCCGGGATCTCAGAGTCATCATCGGTCATTGATACCTCATCAGCAGCAGCAGCTGAAGAAAACATGTCAGAGAACGCGTTGAAAACTGGATTACTGTTCATTTCAATATCAAAGAAATTATTGACAATATCGTTTTCCTTGTCTACAATGTTGTCTTCTTCATCCCCGATACTGGAGGAGTCATCTTCATCACTCAAGTAATCAAATGCATTAGCATCCGAAATAGTGTTCTCGACTATCAATTCAGCCTGCTCGGGTTCATCGAGTACAGTATTGGTTGCCATTTGATTACTTATATGGTGAACCTTCGAATGTCTTTTCAGTAGCCAAGGCTTTTCAAACTCTTTTTCGCATTCAGAGCAGGTAAAAACACCTGAATTGATGCTAAAGTTAAGTTTGCCTTGCCTTTTAAGGGGGCGAGTCTTAACGATTTTATATGTTTCTTGTCTTGTATTCTTTTGCATAATAGTAAATTGATTGTAAAAACAAAGGGGTGAAAATGACTTTGCAAAAATAATTGAATTTATAAAATGTGGAAAGATCGATATTTAATGTCAGCGGACCAATTAGAATTTTTTTTACTTCTTTTCTTTTAAGAAAATATTGCGTGTTTTTGTCTTCTTTTTCATTTTACTTTTCCACAAAATATTTATTATTTGCATGAGCTTCCATTTGTAAGATATTCCAGTATGCTTATAGTATTTATAGAAGTAGAATTTTGCTTAAAGACCGTAAGCTCAAAGGTATTTATGCTATCAAAGTTTTTTATGTCATTGTGTTTATTAATCATACAATTCTAGTTTATAAATTAGTTTTTCATCATCTCGGTAAATCAATAAAGAGGTAATAACTACATGTTCCTCTTACAAAGCAACAGAAGACTAACTATTTACTCCTCACTTGCAGAGATTTGGCTGCCTTTTATTGCAAATGCCTTAATAGAGTCAAAGGTAAAATTCTGTTAAATATATATAACTAAGTTTAATTACTAATTATTAGTTCTTCTGCTTTAGCTTTTCTCGAAATTCAAATCTTTATGCTCTTTGGGTTTATTGGAATTTCTGGCACCAGGTCTCTTGGATTAGCTAGATATAGTAGTTTGCAGCAAACCAATTGCATAATTTACAGACATAAGTACAAACAGTTATACTACTAGTGTTTCTAGTGGTATGGATATACTGGTGTGCTACTGCCTGTGGATTTTATGGTCCAGTCAAGCTTTTTTTTAGCCTAATTTTTTTTGAAAATAAAAAATAAATTTTTTATAACCCAAAATTATTTGAAACAAATTAAAAATTTGAACCATTTTTGAAATTGTGCAGTACATTTTTTAATCGAAATCTATTGGCCGAGAGTAGTCCCCCCATCCCCCCACTTTTCAGTCCCCCAAAAAAAATGAATTTCCTGTTATGGGCAAAATTCGCCCTGTATACAAGAATCCTTTTAAGGAACAAGATTACACAAAAAAATCTGCTGTGGTGAAAGCTGTCACTGCTTCTACATATTATTATAATTTAAAGTCCCTTGCAACATAAAAAAGTAGACCCCCCAAGTAATTTAAACTCGGCGCACAAGGAAATAAGTAGGTACCTGTAAGAAAGGGGCAGAGTTTGAATTCAGAGCTTTACAATTCCATAAACCTTCAGAAATCGGAGAAATCTGTGCAATCGTCATCCTGATTAGCTGACAAGAATTCTGGCACGACAGTAAAATTAGAAACAATAAAACTATCAAAATAAATTTTCCCCAACGGGGAATCGAACCCCGGTCACGACGGTGAAAGCGACGGATCATAACCACTAGACCATTGAGGAAGTTATATTAGTACGTGTAGTAAAGGCAAATTAGCCGTTCATTTGTTTCTGGTGATAGACACCGGACGGTGGGTTCCTTCAGTGATTTGATCCAGCGGTGAGCCATGAGGGGTAGTACTGGACTCGTGGACATTGACGTCGACGGTGAGTTGACTAAGTGACGTGTCTCAAGGGACAGGAGTGGTCCCCCAGGGTTCTTGGGAAATCTTTTTTCAGATACTCCTTATACTCAAATCCCCAATTTTATTCTGTTTCTTAATAATTAGCACTGCAAAAGATAACCAATTTAAGTAGCTTAATTTTTGTTTAAATCCTCCAAAAATCAGTGGTTTATGTTCAATTATAGTTTGGTATCTATTACAAAAATTAGTTCATTTAATTAACCAAATGATGAGATTATAGATACTAAAATCAATAGATAAATTGAGAGTTATAATTTCCCCTTTTCTTGAAATGTTATAATTGTCTGTAATTCTGGTTATATATTCACCCATAACTTCAAACCGTACCTAAACCCTACTTGTTATAGAATTGGCTTTGAACTCTCTACCTCTTAAAAATTTTTATTTGCTTTAATTATATGATATTATTGGATAGACCTCAATAAAATCAACCTAGAATCAGTCTGAAATCTGACAGGAACCAGCATTCAAATGAATGATTATAAAAAAAAACTTAAATAGATCTTGTTGACATCATCAAGAGATGACGCATTTGAAATAGAATCTCATGGAAAAAATAGTTTTTATTAATTTTTGAATGATTGGAAAATGTATTTAGCTATTTAATATGGACTACTAATACTTCTTTAAAAGTGTGTATCCAAATAGTACGACTTGTATACATGTTATACTTTCATTTATTGGATGACTTGAATACATTGGATGATCTGACTTATACTATACTTCCCTACCTTATCGGTTTCATATATTTAGCATGTTTTTTGGTTTTACACTTCTTTAACTGAAAATGAAATTCTTGGTATTTTCTTGGAGAATACGTTTGTTTGGAACTACATTAGCTTAGAGCAAAAAAAGATACAGAAGTATTAATACAGGTTTTTTATGAAATAAAATGAAATAACATACTTACTAGATCATTTATAGGAGTTCATAACAAATCTCGCAATAGAATAAAAATCTGTTTGATTGATATTTTCTTTTAAATAAAAAGCAAGAAATAAAATAAACAACTTTATTAATATGTATGCTTTGATTGTAAAGGCACTTGAATTACTTACATATTATAGACATACATTTGCAAAAGGGGGCAAACCAGTATGTCTTGAAAAAAAGGTGTGACATATTTATCTGAAAAGAAGAATTGATAAGTTACATTATTTAAGTTGAGTTATATATATATTATTTTTTCATAGACTGAACATACCAGAAAGTATATAGTGTCAAGAGCAAAACATCTTTTATTACAAAATGGGTAGAAGCCCTATCATTTTAAAAATAAAAGATATTTAGTCAGCAAGATGTTTCATTTTGGTTAGGAGATTGTTTATTATCTGTACTGTTTTGAATGTTTGTTGAGTGTATTGTTTATCTAATATATATTAAGATGATTCTAAAAGCCAAAAGTATTAATAAAAGTTGAGATCTTAAGAGTAAGCTTACCAAGACATATAAAAAGAGACAAAACGAGAAGAGCAGGTTAAAGAAAGAGAAAATAAAAAAGAGGGACACTGTTATTCTATTAAATACGAATTTGAGATTTTTTTTAAAAATAAATAAATCAAAAAATAATTTTTGTCTGTAACTTAGAATTGAAAGAAAACGTAGTTGCACTATGCCAGCAGCTAATACATATGAAAAACAGAGTATAGTATAAAATCATATTATTCAAATACTAATACATAATATAAGAATAAAACATGGATTGAAAATTAAATTAAAGAAACACATAGAATACTCACAACAAGAGTGGAAACATTCAAAGCTGTTCTTGTTACGTAATAGATCATGATGTTCTCTGAGAAAGAATAAAACTTAAAGTCAAAATTAAACATAATATAAATAGACCCTTTGGATTTAAAAAAAAACAAGCTATTCTTATTATTCACAATGTCAAGAAATCTCAATAACAATTCAGTTAACAATGCTTTTGGTGAAAAACCTTCTGTGGGAAGGTAGATTAAAACCAGGCAGTCTTCAATTTTCTTATATTAATTTTATTTTCGTTTTTTATAAAAATCAAAAAAAACCCACCAAGAAATACCAATGATATAAGGATAATAATGTTGCAACACTCACAGAGAACAGTGAGCAATCAAAGACCACTAGCACTAAAGAGAGCTCGGTTGAATCTTGAAGGTGATTTGTCGGGTAGAACTTGTAACATCTATGATGTGTATGAGAAACTTGATACCATGAATGATGTCTTAAACACTGTTTTGAAGAACACATCTTCTGAGAAAGCCGAAGCCACTACTAGTATAGCAGTTGAGAAAGACATGTTGCCTGGACATCAACCAACATTGGATGTAAGTAATCATAATATGTTTTTATGTAGATAGAATTTAATATACATTTATATTATAGCAATTGTTGCGCGATTATTTGAGTGAAGAGAAATTGTATGACCAATACAATACCAATGAAAATAAAAACAGTGAGGGAAACAGACTCGTTCTGAAGTCTGTTACCAATTACCTTCATTGTCAAGAAGAGAGGAAAAAGGTGGACTTGCCAACTCTTCGAACTAAGATTGTGCGGCACATTGGCAACAGAAAGTTGCAAGAAAAAAAACAGGAGAAAAGAAGCAGGAAGAGAATTGACAGGCCTGTCTTTGTCAGCAATGTGTAAAGATAAAAAACATACGTACACAATATACTAGATGTGATATTAAATTAGAAATATTATATATTTATATATAGTTGTGTGAAAGAAGACAATCTGCCTTGAAAGCCAATTGGGCACACTTTGTAAACAGCTTTGGAGAGAATGTTGACAGTATTCTCCATGCTGATTACATGTCAGACCTTGAGAGTGATGACAAAAGAGAAGAAGAGGAACAGAATTCGTCCTCAGAAAAGAGTTTTTTTTGGAGATTCTGCCCAAGCTGGAGAAGCGAAGAGGTATAGTACAAAAAACTATTTTTTTGGATGGTATGTAATAATACTTACATTGACATATAGGGAGATAGGTTCGTTGATGAACTTGATGCGGATTATGAGGCAGCTCATGATAAGAAAAATAATACCCATTCGTTCGAGCATAAATTTAAAGGAATAAGAGATAAGCAGCTTAGCAAGACCAAGGCAAACAAGCTGCCATCATGGTCAAAAAAACAATAAGACAATAAATCAAACATTTTCTAATAAATTGATAAAAGAGTGCAAAGTGGTATTTTATTAATATTATTTAAGCTTCTATTTTTTGGGGTAAAGGGATTGCTAAACGTTTAAATTCACTAGTTACACTGGAAAAATAACAATAAATACACACGGGGAAATTCAGGCATACTATTGTGAATATTCCGTATTTTACAGTGGGGTTTTGCCTATTTCCACTGGTACCAAAGCTGATCTGGTTACATGTGCACAGACCTGCTATCTACAAGTGTAAAGTTCGATAGCACTAGTGAAGTTGGGGTCAATAGTAATTTTATATCTTTGTATATAATAGAGTACCAAGAAAACTTTATTTCAAACTTTGTTTTTTGCTGTAATACAATCTGTTTCCATGTTAAAGGTTAATAATCAGGGACTACGTCGCATGTGTATTGTTGAACTATCCCTGGGTGAATAGTTAGAACCATGGACATTTTATTGCTTATAAGCCAATCATTAACACTCTTTATTATGAGGTCATAGATTATCTGCTCCCCCAATTACTTGATATTCAATTATTATTGGTTTGAATTATAGTTTATTTTTGTATTTATTAGAAAAAATAGAATGATTCTAGGTTGATAGTATTGGAATAATATTATATGCCTCGGGCCGTCTTCACCGGTATCCTTCATATGACTCAAATCAAGCAGTGCTTTATATATAATGTTTGTAAACCCTCATATTCAGTAGTTATCTTTGGCACAGATACTATTTAACATAATAGAAGAGAAGTTAGATGTGTATTTAAATATTTACATGTTGTGAGTGATATATTAATTTGAGGATACATACAATATAATGACTGAAGAAGATAAAAATAAAACTTTGAGAGTTCGAGGCATGGCGTCAAGTATAATTTCTTTAACAATGAAAATAATATAGAGAAGTTAGTTTGAGTGAATTGGGTGACAGAATATGTAATGAACGTACCCGAAGAAAGTCGATTTATTTGTAGACCTAGATAGTACTTGTCAAGAGTTGATATAACCTTTAGTAAAAAACATATATTAATATACAGTATAAATAATACTATCATACATATTAAGAGAATAAAAGAAGAAGTCTTACCATGTCAATGACGGCGCCAAGAGATAGAGGTTCTTGATTAATTGCGTGTTTGGCAGATGAACATTCATCTGTAATAAAAATTATATTCTGTCAGATAAATATTAAAAGTAAATAAAAAATAAAATATTACCGTGTTGATGGTCTTGTTTAATTGTAGGGAATATTTTTGGCGATATTGTCTATAAAAAAGGAGAAAAGTCAGAATAATTTTATAGGATGATGACATGAAGTATAGTTACTAACCTGGACTAATCCGGATGGCCATTGTAAAGAGAATACATCAGAAGGAAAAAACACGCTAGTATCTATGACAACTGAAATAATAATTATTATTTAGTTACATTTGAAGAAAAGAATTGCTTTAAAAAAAAAGAAGATATGTTACCAAAAAAGTTTGCGAATATAGTAAAACACTAAGAGAGTATATATGTATCTATGACAACAGAATGTGTTAATCTTGTTGTTGTCTGTACAGAAGTATTTTTAAGAAGAATGTATCTTACCAGTAAAATTCACAGTTATAACAAAAATCAGAAAGAGAAAGAAAAGAAAAGAAAATGGTCGATAAGGAAAAATATGGAAAAATATGGAAAAATAAAAAAAATAAGTAAATAAAATACAAAAAAAAACAAAATAGGTAATTAAAAAAAATGAAACTCAAAAAAAATATCCAAAAAGCATAATAGATATAATGGTGTAGTATCTAAAAGCAATCTTTGTATCAATTTACACAGTGTGTGTACAAGAAGTTACTTTAGATATATTCTTTTAACCAAGATCAATCAAGACTAGACATCCTTTTTTTTTTGGAAATATAAATATACGTTTTTGCTACAATCTTACTCACCCTTGCTCACGCACTCTTACAATTATTCTTACTTATACTCACACTTTCTCTCTCTATCTCCCCATCTTTTTCTGTCTTTTATTTTGGTATGTTTGATAATAAATATAATTGTAGTGTATAATAGAAATTTATTCAAAGAATATAAAAGCATTAACAGTTAATACATATTTGAACTTATATTTTTAAATTAATAGAATATGTCTAACCAAAATGAAAGCTATCCCACTCGACGCACTCCTGCTGAGAGAGAGATGACAAACTCTCTTGCCATCTTGCGTCGTGACATGACCACTGTCATGAAAGATGTTGCTGATATCAAAGCAAAAACTTCGAACACTCCTGTATCTGCTGTTTTGCAGAGTCAGCCGATGGCTTTAGTGCATGCTGTTGCTCCTGTGAGCATGGAAATGAATGTAGCTGGTTCTCCCACCATGGCTTCTGATGCAAAATCAGTCAACAAAACAAAAGCCTATGTATGTATCATACATATAGTAAATTATATCTTTAATAACTTACCAAGATTCAATAGAGACTTCTTCGGGAGCATTTGTGGGACCCTAAGTTCAAGTCAAAACATTTGGCTGAAATTCAAGCCAACAATGGCAAGCCAAGGTGGAACACGGCTGTCAACTTCAACCAGTCGCCAAACACTGAGCTGACAGAAAACCTCGTTGCCTACTTGGAAAGAAATTTCGTAGGAGCAGGACTGAGAAAAAGTGATGTTCGTGACTTTGTCTACACGAACTTCACTAGCAGAAAGCGTGCAGCTAATAAGTCTCAGGCTAAAAAGAAGTCAGACAATGCTCGCAACAGAAGGAGTAGCCGCGAAAAGGAGGTAAGTTATACTTTATTTATTTATTATTTGAATAATTCTTATCTAAGTCATTAATTTAAAGCAAAAAAAGAAAACTAATTTAATATTTTCAACAGCACTTGAAACGTCGCAAAACAGCGTACCAGTCTAACAAGACTGCTATTGATGACGAGATGAAAAGAGATTGCTCTGGTCTCATTATAGAAGAGGCTATGTCTGTTGGTGAGTCAGACGATGGCACTTCGCCTCATGTTTCTTATAGTGGGCTTCGTCTTCGTCGTCCAGGTTGGAGAAGTGATGAGGTACTTAGTTTTTTGAAAGTTGAAATATTTAATTTAGTTAATATATTATATTGTATTATACTGAATAAAATATTAATGTCTTTAATATAGTACAACCACTTCATCACACTTGTTGACAACAAAGTGGTAGCTGATTTAGGCTTAAATAGCCATCAATTGCTGTCACGTGCTTTTGGCGAAACCGTTGAAGGACCAGTCCCTGATGCAATTGCGTCACAGTTTCCTCAGTGGGCTCTTAGAAACGGGCCCTAAATAAAGTTTATATTTTTTGTTCTTTTTTTCTTCATTCATAACGTCTTATACTTTAAATAACCAAAAAAATGCATAAAGAGGCATTACTTGTTCTTTGTTTTTTATTTAATTATTCTCATAAAAAATCATAGTGCATAATTATTCATAAAGGCTTCAGGCATAGTATTTTTTTGGCATAGGAATGACCAGCATTCTTTCTTCGTTCATATCAGTTACATCTACAGCAGTTGCGACCTCTAAGTGTATGCGATGTACAGGCAAGATGCTGTGATAATTATCAGCGGAGAATTCTGGCAAGCAGATTGCAATACCTTCATCTCTGTGTTCATTGTCATTTGTCGAACTATACCATCGGATGTATGCAAAAACATGCTGGTCTTGATGTAATGTTGATGCTCGGTGGTTTGGATGAGGAGGCAGAGTAAATGAATGTATAAAAAGATACTGAATTTGTCCGGTATATAGGCTTGAAGTTCGGCCATTGCTGCTACGGAAGAAAGCTTGAACGAGTGACCCGCGCTTACCAGAACTGTTGTTCCCAATATATGTTTGGCCAAGGAGATCAATTGATTTCAATTTTGTGATTCGGTTATTTACAAAATATTGTGACAATCTGGCATCGTGGTAAGAAATGAGATTGGGCATGGAATAGGCGATTTTATAATAATCTAACAATTGAGGATAATCAATATCACTCATTGTTGATTCTTTTAAGGACTGTAAAGGAAAGGTGGATGGGGGGAGTGGTTCATTGCCTTTGATAGGTGCTGCTCGACTTAAGGATGAGTCTACAAATTGTTGCAGTCGGAAAGGTTGTTGGTTGGTTGGAGCATAAGTGGCATAGGTCGTTATAGGTGCGGTCGTAGAGGTAAGTTTTTCGAAAAGAGGAAGGAATGGAATGAGGCTTGGACATGATAACGTATTTCGTACGTAATCAGCTTTGTATGCGTCTGCAGTGAATTTTGTCATATAGGTTGTTTCAAACCCGTCTTTTCTGTTTGTCTTGTTATTCTTTAACAAACCATTGTATCTCTCAAAACCAAAGAGCCAATAGCCATACACGGGTCCAAAATCACGAATTGTGTCATGAAGATGGAGGTGCAGGTGCATGTTGCAGGTGAGGACTTTTGGTTCATATGTATCTTCACAAGATTGACAGAATTCTTGTAGATATCTGTGTGCTTGGTCTATTTCGATGAAACTGATTGACGGCTTTACAAGTATATGGCATGCTTTTACATAGTGCATCCAGCCATTGAACATATTGGACGGAAGAACTGGTTTTAGAAGCACGGGAGAGTACACCAATACCCAAGACTTCCACTCATCTGCTTTCATGTGGGAAAAGCCCTTTCCTATCTTCGTTTTCAGCTTGGTATAGTCGCTGGGCAATATCATCGTTGCTGCAACTGTCTGCATTGCAAGCAGATCATTGTTTTTCATTTTTTTCATTTTTGTCCATGTTTCAATCATTCTCTTTGGTGTTCCCAGAAAAAGATTATGCATGGGATCAATGATCGTTCCACGTACTAGATCAAAGTATCCAAGGCGATACAACTGCGACCATCGAACACCATATTCGACCTCCAGCTGCTGCCTTTCTGAGGGTGTACTCGCACTATTCCACTCCTCAGCATGCACACGGTTTGCTCTATCACTTCGATGGCGCCACTGGTCACAATCAAATCCACGGAAATCGACAGAAGAAGTGCCTGGTAGACGAGAAAATTGATTGTCGCATTTGTAACAGGCGCATGTGCTGTTGTGCGCGGTGAACCCACTAGTCTTTCTGGCAGCAGGTATATCGCATGCAACCATCAATAAGGCTGCACGAACTGTTGCACCGTCTGTTTGCTGGTAGGTGGGTATCTGTATTCCAAGATAGAGCTGTATCATTTCGTCGACTAATGGCTTGAGATAATGATTGATCTCTTCTGATTTTGGCTCTTTTGGTCCGGGCATGAGGCCAACAAGGATTGTATTTTCTGCTTTAAACCGCTCACTTCTAGGCAGGTTGTTAATCACCAGGTAGATAGCACCGCAGGAATAGCTAGTACCATCGAAAGGCTGGAACCAGTCGATGTTTAATGTCAGCATCAATGAACGAGGATGCTCAACAAAAATTTCATCGTCATTGTCCTTCAAATCAGTCCAGGCTTCACCATCGTAAACATCACACAATGTATCAGTGATCTTGAATTCTTGGTTCCAGTGCATGATCTTTTGCTCGAAATCGGGACGGAGGAAAAGAATTTTAAGAGCACGTGTGAGAGACTGATATACATAAGACTTCTTTGCGACCAAACCACCAAACAATGATTGGACCATTAATTTGCAATTACAGGCGGTATGTGCACCAAGCTTTACGAAATCACAATTCAAAGGAGCAGGTACACTTTCCTCATACACCTTGTGGCAATCCTGACACACGACAAATCTCTTAATCCCTTTTGTCATGGCTGAGAATCCTGTCATGCTTTGGAGACCAGAAAGACTCACGGGCAATTGGAAATCCTGCTCGTAAATCGACAAGAGCTTGTTGATGAACTCGATCAAGACAACAGCGCCCTTATTGACCACATAGCGGGAAGCAAACATTACCACAAAAGTAGCAATGAACCTGTGTACCGGATTTTCAGGCATATTTGGGGTGGCAAAAGGATCTATTGTAAAAAAAAAAACAAAAAAAATTAACACCCCCCCTTTTTTCAGATTTTTCTTTTTTGGTTCTTTTCCTTGAATTTTTTTGGTTCTTTTCTTATTAGTTAATTAACACGGACTGACCTTCAGTATCGAATTCTTCGACTTCAATCTCAACAATATTCTCTTCATTGTCTTCACTTTCTTCACCGCCATTGCTTTCTTCGTCATTGTCATTTTCATCACCATCACTGCTTTCGCCATTCGACTCATTGCTAAAAGCAACCTCATCGTCAGAAATTGGGGCTCCTTCCCAAACAGGCGAGTTGGTCTGACCGCCCATTGCTTCCATGGGTCCGGTTTGTTGGTTTGATGTAGCTACATATAGAATTCAATTTTTAGTTTACTTCTCTTTTTATCACAATTAACGTTTCTTACTTTCAAAATCAATATCCATGAGATTTCTTTGAACAGATACATCTATTGAAATAAAACATTATATAAAATAACCAAAATGAAAATGAAAATGAAAAACAAAACATACTTCTTTCACTTCTTTCCATGCCTTCATATCTTGCTCTTTTATTGTGACGCTGGAGGGTTCGTGTAGAAACAAAGCTGTAGCCTTGTTGATTATCGCTGCATTTTGTGCAATAGCACTTCTTATTATAAAGTTCAGAAGTAGAGGACATGGTGTTTATTTTGTTATAAATGTTAAGATAAAAGGAAAACAAGTGTTACATTTACTTTATTTGTTCAAACTTTATAATAATAATAATAATAATAATAATAATGATAAAATAACTTGGATGGTTATTATATCCGAGCCAATAGAAAATTACAACATGACTTTATGAACATGTACACCAAAAAACATGCTGAGATGAAAAATTGCTCTAAATATCCACATGTAACCATGAACCTTCACACAAGGGTATTCAGGGTCATTTCTCCAGTGTTATGGTAAACCTATATTTAGCAATTGCGATTGGTGAATATAAACGATGTACTGGAATAATACATTCATAATTAAGTACAGAAGAAGGTTCATTTCAGAGCTCAATTCCTTCATTTAACATTGGCTGGTAACTTCCCAAAGAATAACTAGAGTACCACTCAACAAACGCAAAAGTATGGGTGATGACAGTTTCGTTGATGGTTATCAAATGTTGAAATAAATACAGTATACAGCCAGGAAACGATGCTTTATCTTCACTGTTATTCTCAAGATAATAGGCACGGAAATAAGATCCAGAAGAGTATTCCTGTCCAAGAAGAGATATCCATTTCATTTTCTCAATTCGGTTATTGACAAAAATCTGATTAGACTCGCAGTTTGAATAATGGCCAAAAAGATTGTGACTGTCATACGCGTGTCTGTAAAACTCCAGTAAACATTCATAATGTCCCTTGCACATTATAATCCTTTAGTCGAGTTTAATCAGAAACACTGAAGGGGGCAATGGCTCACAACCCAAAGCAGAATGACGAGGGTTTAACGAATATTCAACAAAGTCAGACAGAGAAAAGGTACTGGCAGTAGAAGATGGATGCAATGCTGCTAATTGATCTTGACTATTTGAAATGCGATGCAGAAAGTCAATTGCGAACTGGGGAAGATGGTTGACGAAAGATTGTAGAAGCTGCCAATGTATGTTCTCTCCAAAAATCTCTTCATCATTGTTGATTCGAAGCCACCTTTTTGATTTGTTTTGATATTCTTCAACAAACCATTGTATCTCTCGAAACTGAATAACCAGAAAGCATAAATTGGCCCAAAGTCATGAACACACTTACCAAGATGAAGATGTAGATGCATATTTGGTGTCACAGCCGATTTTCCATACAGTGTCTGAAATCTTGTACAAAACAATTGGAGTTTACTGTGGGCTTCGTCTATTTCTTTGTCATTGATTGAAGGTTTTGTGAGTAAGTGGCATGCATCAACAAACAAAATCCAGTTTTCGAGATTCTTGGCTGGGAGCACATGCTTCAGAACAAATGGAGAGTATATGACGCACTACGACTTCCACTCGTCAGCTTTCATGAACGAAAAACCATTGGCAATCTTCTTTGTTATACGCGCATATCCACAAGGTACAACAATATCATTGACAAGCTCTTGCATAGTTAACTGATTCTTTTTATTGATGTAGTTACACTAGCGCCATATCCAAATCATTTGCTTTGCAGTTCCAAGATAGAGGTTATGCATTGGGTCTATAACTGTAAAGCGGACTGGGTCAAAGTAAGATAACCAATGAAGCTCTGACCACCGAGTGCCTTTTTCTTCTTCTAGGCGTGTTTGCTCAGTATTGTTCAATGCATTTGCCCAGCTGACAGCGTGTTCCAGATTCATTGTCTTTGTGCATCTCACCCAATTGCTATACTTAAATCCAGAGTAGTCAAGCTTGCTGGTCTTCTTTATAGTCGTGAATTGTTGTTGACATTTGTGACCGGCGCATGTGCTCATGTGGCTAGTAAATCCAGAGGTTTTGCGAGTGACAGGAATATCACAGGCAACACACATCAATGCAGCACAAATAACAATCTTTCTGTTTTATGAGTCTGTCATTTCTACACCAATGTACATCTCCAACAATTTGTCAACGAGCAGCTTCAAGTAATGATTTATGCTGTCAGTGCTTGCTTCCTTCAGTCCAGGCATCATACCAACAAGAATGACATTTTCAGACTTAAGGCGTTCACTCCATGGGAGATTGTTGATAGAGAGATATATTGCACCACTAGAATGTTTTCGTCCATCAAATGGCTGAAACCAATCGATATTCAGAGTCAACATTAAAGATCGGCTATCATCAACAAACCGTCTGCCATTGATGTCTTTAATATCACTCCAAACTGCACCATCAAAAATGTCAAGTTTGGTGTTTTCAATTATTTGACGATTTCTCCACAAATTGATCTTGGACACGAAATCTGGCTTGGAGAATTTTTATTGCAAGGCGTACTTCAGAGAGTTGAATAGATATACCATTGCTGGAAGAGAACGATTTCTGGTTGACACTTTAAAGAGATTGTTGTTGCAAATGGTGGATTGAGAGAATTTCTTAAATGTACAGACTCTTTGACTTGTTTCCGGAGGATAAATCAAATGACATTATGAGCATGCAATGTATACTGTCATTCCGTCTGTTGCCATATTAAATCCTGTTTTATGCTTCAAGCTATTGATCGTCAGTGGAAGGGCACCAGACATATCACAAAGAGAAAGTAGAGTATTACATAATTCAATGAGAATCGATCCACCGCTTTCCACAAAAAAGATCAAGTGAAATATGACAATGAATACTACAACAAAGCAGATATACAAGAGCATGTTATCAAAAGACGAAGGACAAACTATGAAGACAAAGGTTAAGTTAGTTTAAATTAATATATTGATTAATTGTCTATACTATATTAATTCATACCTGATTCTACTATCAAGGTCCCACTGGTCTCACCAAAGTTTTCTTCTTGTTCAAAATCAAAACTGGTATTGCCTTCTTCAATCTCATCACCATCAATCACAAATGCTCCTGTAATTGTATCTTCGGCAGTAAAGATGAACTCTTCTTGGGACAAAGGTAAGTCAACTGGAAAGAAATAATTGTTGTAAAGATGTAGAAATAAAAATATAATTACAATTATAATCATATAAAAAATAAAAAATAAAAAAAATTTATATCAGTTTCAATTATTATTTTGTTCATTTATTTTATTTTATTTTCTTACCTTCTTGATCAAATTCAATATTTTGTTCTTCATTTTCATCTTCATATTCGCCTTCACCTTCGTTTTTGTAATCATAATCATTGTCATTGTTACTGTCAATACTATCTACTTCCATGTTGTCAAAATGTTCTTCAGGAACATCTATTTTATGAATTAATTTATATTAATTTTACATGTACAGCTCGAGTTATTCTTGTTATTTACCCATTGCATCGTCTTTGGCAACAGGCACTATATGTTTCTCATAGTGTCGTTGTGCATTTTGTCTCTTCTGTTTCTTTCCACAGCTATCCAACTTTGTATAGTCTGGACATTTGCAGATAACATAACTGTCTTTCTTTTGATTATTGGACATGTCAATTGTTTTAAATTATAAAAAAATTATATAGATTTTAAGAGATCTTGATTAAGGTCTTTATATACCAAAAAAAATTATAAATAGATAAAATACTGCTTCATGCCATGACTATAGTATGCCAAGTAATTCTTTGATACATCTACCGCACATATAATCATAATTATACTAATATATTGTTAAGTCATTAACCAAGTCAAATACTGCGTATATTACTAAAAGTGTACACAATTTTTTTTAAAGTCTTTTTTTAGAATTATAATATTTGATATGACGATGATTCGACCATGATGAAAAATAATCCAAAAATGAAACATTCGCCTCTCACAACATGTGAAATAAAAAAATCTGATATTTTAGTTCCATATATCAAAGGGAAAAATCACGCAAAAATATTGCCACAGTAAAAATAAAATCACAACCTTTTATCTCGTTCCCTTGAAATATATTGATTAAATATTTGTTCTTATATTCACATTTATAATACATAAAAAATATTTAAATGATTTATTTTGAAATAGAACAAGTGAAACCTTCAGAATATATATAATTTTTATTAAATATTATATTAACTTTTGTATAAGTGTTTTTTCAGTGTAATTTAGAATTATATCAAAGAAGTGTATAATAGAGAAAAAAACCAATTTTGTAATTTTATGGCCAAAAACAATGATGGTAGTGTGATTTTACAGCTAAAAAAGAGCGATCTGAAATCACAACAAAAAAAATAGAAATTATTTGAAAAAATTAAAAATCGAAAATTGTAGTAAAATTTTTGCAGGTTTTCAGGAACTAAAATCAGTGGTCTTTTGCAGTGTAGAATACCCATCTACATCATCACCACTGAAACATCTGTCACCCACTAAAAATTATACTTCTTTCCCCTAATTTTATATACTTCTTTATTGCCAATATTTTTTTATAATATTTTTTATTAAATTTTTATTAGACTTTATTATTATACTATTATTATATTTTTTACTTTAGTTCACTACATCGTTATTATATTATTACTTTACTTCTATTCTATCTCACTATATTTTTACTTTACCTTTATTCAATTACTATATTTTTACTATATTTTTATTTTATTCTCTCTATATTTTTCTATTCCACTTCTACTATCAATATCAGTTATATGTAATAATATTTTTCACTTGAATTTCTTTTCTTTCTCTCAAAAAATTATTTTAACCAAATATTTTTGTTTATAAAAGAAACAACCTTTTCAATAAACAAAATCATCATTCTATTCTTGATCTTATTTATTTCTGTTTGTTATTTATTATTATTCTTCATTCATATACAGTGTCTTTGTTCTTTAGAGTGTTGTCTGTCAATCTTCATATATTTTGTTTCTCCGTTTTCTCTTTTTTGTCTCTCTCAAACTTTGTCGTTATCACAATTTTCATTTTTATTTTCTCCCTATCTTTTTTATCTGTCTGTCACCAATTCTTACCTGTTAAATTACCTATTCTTTTCTATTCTTATTGTATTCTTCTTTTTGTATTTTGTAAGTCACATTACATTTATTTGCCAAGTGATACTGTTACAATTCACAACAAACAAACATATCATGTGTCATATTTGACATGGAGTGTTGTATAAATTGTCAGCTCTTAACAAAATTTTGGTTGTCCGGCAGTATAGTGACGTTGCAGAATTCTTTGTAATTCTAGTAAAATTATATTTTATGATTTTTTTGGATTTTCCAATGGTGATTGAGACTGAATAGAAAGCAATTTTTCTATTTGTAAAGCAAAACACCAATAAGTACAATGAAAAAGTATTGTGGTAATCCAGACACTCAGATGTTAGATTTATCACATATAAGAACATACTCATATTAGGATAGCATAGTAGCTATCATCTTGTCAGTATAAAATATATATAAACAATTAAGTAATCAGCCCAATAATTATTACAGTTAGTACTGTAGATAATATTTTAAAGATTGTTAAGATAATTATATCATACTGCTGGGTAAACTATGTCAGATCGATATGGAGCTAATTTAGTAGAAAGTTCTAAAGCTCTAGTATAAAAGAGAAAAGGATAGCTAAGAGCTAAAGAAGTACAATTTATGACTTGATGTCCTAATTGTAACACCAACACTAGATAAACAGTAAATACACTCTAATAACCAAATATAGTAAAGGAAGAAAGCCTTAAGAAACTGAGACGTAATGATAAGAGCAGATTGTGTTTTCTTATAAAAAGAGACACTTTTTATTTATAAATAAAGACAATTTATATACAGTCTCAAAGTATTTCTATATGTCTCTATTATCAAATTTATTATTTTTCTATTGTTTCATATCTGAAATACTACAAGCATTATCTTGTCAACAATAACTTCATGCAACCACACATTATATCTTATCTTCTCACTATATTTAACTGAACGAATCAACTTGAAATTAACATTATTTTTATTATATTTTCTTTACAAATATAATTAGCTTCATGATTATGACTTAATAATTATTTTATTTATTTGTACTTAATGATAATAAAAAACAAATTACATTTAACGGATCATTGATTATACAACTTTTTATTATATTTTTCAATAATTTTATTTATTTAATTATTCAACAAGTCAATTGCAAAACTATAAATATCGCAATACTTGCATTTAATAAACATTGATTTTTCTTTGTCTTATTTTCTAATAACAAGTTCTCTTAATATTTAAAGCTGTTGATATTTTACTTCTTTGATTATCTAAATATATTGAGTCAAGTCTATTGAGATTGATCAATTACTGCAAAAGACTGTCAATTTGACAATTTAATATAGTTTTATTAGTGTTATTAAATTTTCAAAAAAAATAAAAATTAAAAATTATATTTTATTTTTGGTTATAATTTTTAATCTGTTTTTTTTTAGCTGTAAAATTATACTAGCATCACTTTCCCTGCTGCATTTTATGTGTCTTTAATATCATTGTAAATTACATTCAAAAAAATATGTATATTAAAAGTATTATATACTTAAAGAAAAGTAAAATATTTTTTATATAATACACCTTTTTTAGATAAAATAAAATAAACTATATTTTTTCTTTTTATTTTTATATAATAAATGTAAATGGAAAAGCAATTCTTTGCATGAAAGATTTGGAGTGATATTATTTTGAGTGTGTGCCAAGAGGTTATGTAATTTCATATTTGCTGTGGTAGTATTTTTGCATGATTCTTTCCCTTAATGTAAAGGAGCAAAAAGAGAATTTTTTTACTCATATGTTGTGAAATATAAATATTTTTTTCAGAATTTTTGTCTTAATGGACAATCCTTATCCTTCCAAATATAGTTTCTTTTTAAAAAAAAGAGAAATCAAAGAGAGTGTGACTTTAATGAAGTGCGCAGTAAATATCTTGGATAATGACTTAGCAAAGTGTGAAGGCAGTTATAATAAAGTGTGCAGTAGGTATCTTGAAGAAATACTTGGCAAAGTATAAGCGTGCCATCAATCAGTATTAGATAACTTGGTCCTTAAGCCGAAAGTCGCGGTTTTAATATAAGTGCTTATTAAAACCCAGTTGATCTTATATTCTTCAAAAGTACCTGCTTTATAAAGGTCACAATAATGATAGAATATATATAAATTGCCTGATTTTTTATATGAAGTTTGTTCTGATACTCTTTTAATTGTTCAAAAAGTCTTATAAAGCTTTTATCAAATGTCTTTAGAAATCTACCTTCACATAGTAGTTCATAACAGACATTGAGAGCTTCAGAAACAAGCTGAAAATCATGCCTCAACCGAGACGCAAAGAGGGAATCATAATATAGCGTATAACAGACTTGAATTATACTTACTCAACGAAGCTCAATGTATTAAACTTTTCAGATTTTCTATGCCAGAGATTGAAAAGATTATCATGGTACTTGGCCTGGAACTAACCTGTCATATTTCAAAAAGAGGCAGCAACATATTTGTTTTTGCCATGTTGATGTATCAATACAGTTCTCCCAGGCGCCTTTTTGATATATCTCTTATTTTCTGAATGCACCCAACAAATATATCAGCTGTTTTGAGAGGAATAGAAGACATGATATATACGAGAAAATAAGATGGGAAATTCAGTTCAATATGCATCTTTTTCTTGGTGGTTTTTTAGATGTTTGTATCTTTCTTTAGTAGAATATTTTGAATAAAAAAGAGCTTAAAATATAGAGATTTAGCATTACTGCATATTCTATGTCTTCTTTATAATAATAATAATAAAAATAATGGATCCTTTTGACAGATAATTATGTATCTGAAAATGTAATTATTTTCAGTTAATTTCAGCCAAATATTGACTTTATGCCCTACTCCAAAAGGAAGTGTTTCAGATTTATGTTATACAAAATACTTAATATAGGCATAATTTAAATCCCATGTCTGAAGATGAAAATTTGTAGCCAAAGATCAATCTTCAAACTAAGAACCAAGTTATCTATTGTATTTATTTATATGTTTTTTTTCACTATATAAAGACCTTAGTAAAAGCATTTCAAAATCTATATTTTCTTATTATTTCACATATTCACCATATCTAACAATCAAATTAAAAACGATTATGTTTTCTGTCAATGTCCTGAATGTATAGCATTCAGCCCTTCTGGAAAGCGCCAAAGAAAATAAAATGCAAGACAACATAATAAAGAACATGGTCTGCTAGTTTCTGCAGCCAACACAACATGTAAATAAAAAAAAACCAATAAAACTAAGATTACATATATAGATTTGATATTAATAAATATATTAAATAAACATGCAAAATGAAAATATTGATATGGAAGAAGACTTTATCTTTGATAATGATAATGAAGACAATGTAAATTCTGATCATAGTAATAATGAAAAAGATAATAAAATAATATAATTTTTTAAAAAGAGATTATTGAAATCTAATACTCTCTATTCTTATATATGATACTAATGTATTATTTTAACTTGTTAATAATAAATATACACCATTAGCTTTCATATTGGCACATTAAGAAGAGTCGATATTTTTTTCGGAAGATACCAACCTTGAATCACTTGTAATTGATAGCAATGAAATTGAAAAAGGAACTACAAGTTTTGATTTTGAACAAGGCGAGACTTTGGATGTTGATACTGAGAGTTCTAGAACTTCTAGAGGTATGAAATATTATGATATCAATATTTCTTTTTGTTGTAAGGCTGGATTTTGAATCTAACTTATCATTTGTCTTCATAGTTTGTGAGTTTTCAGTAAATAGCATGCCCATATATATTTGTTTTGTAACTATTTTCATTGTTATATTTCATCTGATCTTTTTGGTAAATAATAATAGATATATTCTCATTGAGTTCTGCAACAATCTTCTCTCCATTTGCAATCTGGCTAGTTCTCTCCCTTTAAAAATTGACAGCCTAAGACATATTACTGGTTTTAACAAAGCAACAAAATGAATGACAGTGTACATGGCATGTTCAAAATGTCATTCAATATATCCCCCAGGTACAACTATAAAGAACTACACTTTTAAATTTTTTTCTGAATCAAATATCTGTAACAATCCGTTATACAAATTCTCAGCTACCAGCTGTTCTTCTCCAGTAATGATATATTCATACAACTCACTTAAGCACACATTACAGTAACATTTTTCTAAGTGAGATTTTCAGCAAAAGATTAATCTTTAAAGAAATCACCCAACAATGAAAAATATAAAGCTTGATATTTATGATGGTACAATATAGAATGAACTGCAAGACAACAATGATGGAATGTTTGTCAATGATTTCCAATCTCTGATGCTGACATTAAATATCAATTAGTTTCAACCTTTTGATGACCAAACCCACTTGAGTGGTGCGATTTACTTGTCTATTAACAATCTCCTGCAAAGTAAACATCTCAAACCAGAAAATATCATTCTTGTTGGCATGATGCTAGGACTAAAAGAAGCAGGCACAGATAGAATAAGCTACTACTTAGAGCCCTTTGTTGCCGAATTGATAGACTTGTATTCTGGTGTATCAATGACAGACTATAGAAATACCCAGATAACTGTTCGTGCTGCCTTGATGTGTGTTGCTTGCGATATTCCTGCTGTCAGAAAAACGTTTGGATTTACTGGTTATATGAGCATGTATGGCTGTCACCAATGTCAATGCCAATTTAAAACTTCCAAAAAACCACCAAGCTCAATTATTCTGGATTCGATTACAAGACGTAGATAAAGCATACAAAGGCAACAAATCTCAGAGATGCTCTCAGATGGAAAACAGCACGAAACAACAATGCAAAAACAATTTTGGAGAGAGAGAATGAAACCCAGTAATCTCAACTTCATTTATTGACATACTTTGATCCAGTTTGGTGTACTATTATTGATCCAATGCACAATCTCTATCTTGGAACTGCAAAGCAGATGATCAACGTTTGGCGTGATTCCAAGCTGATCAGTGACAAGAATTTTTTGACCATGCAAGAACTTGCCAATGAAGTTGTTGTACCTTCTGGGTGTGCTTGTATTACAAAGAAAATTGGTGATGGGCTCTCGTTTATGAAGGCTGACAAGTGGAAGTTGTGGTGCATAATACATTCCCCATTTGTTTTGAAGCACGTAATCCCAGAACGCCTTATTTTCTGCCAGTTCAAATTTGAGACAAAAAGATCCAAGGAAACAAGTGACCACTTTTTCTTTTGTTTTTTTATTTTTTTTAAAAATAACAGTGGTTGTTTATGAAAAAACACTTCTTTACAAAATACAAAATAATTCATATCACTGCAAAAACATCTTAAAAGAATTGAATTCCACTTACCTGGAATTATCAATAATAGTAGCCAAAAAATTACAACCCAGGTCATTTCCTGTGTTTAGCAGCAAGAATATATTTAAAGACATATCATTGGCCTAATATATATCACAGTCTCTAAGAGAATTTTTTCAAAATAATAAAAACAATTATAATAAGCAATGGCTGTTACACACTTCCTTTATTATTAAAAAAAATTAAGTCAAAATTTTTTTGCCATTGCCAATCCTGATGAAGTTCATTGCAAATGCACAAGATGCAATCGCAATCCTCTCGGATACATCATGACAGATAAAAGAACTGCCAAGCATCATGCACAGAATGATAATGACAGGAATATAGATAAAATCATTAATGGTAAATTAAGTTATCAATTTTTCATTTATTTATATGATGTATTCTAATCCATTAGAATAAATAGTTTTGACAACCGAAGTAAACACTGGTGAAGCTGATATGGACGTAGATCAAATTGAAGAACATATTGAATGTAATAGTATTTTATTTTTTATACCTAATGCGCACTCTATTTAAACTTGGTATCAATAGATGATAATTACTCCATTGGTGCACCCTCACCAGAGCAGTATGCCAATACCCGCTTACCTCTTTTGGTGGAAGAATCTCTTTTTGAAACAGAGGAGTATACTTCAGAGTATGAGTCTGAATATGAGTCATCGGATGAATTTGAGCAAGAAGAGCAGAACAGAGAGCAAGAACAGGGTAAATATTAAAAATAAACTATGATTGAAGAAAAAAGGTTTGAATTAAAGAAACAAAAAATTAATATTATTTTATGATAACTTACAGAGTCTATAGAAAACCTTCCAGAGAATATTTGGCATCAAGTAATTGCGGTTTTCACTGTGATATTTATTTCTAGCTTCATTGTGGATGAAGACGCAGTAATTTTGATTACATTCATAAATACAATCCTCAAACATTATGGAGAGGATTTCCGACTTCCCACAAGCATTCCGGGTTTGAGGGAAATGACATGATACAATGACTTGACAAACAGCGTATCAAAATATGTAGCATGCAGTAATTGTCACACATTGTACGATTACAGCAACAACATGCATACATCCTGCAATTTCAAAAGAGTTGGTAGTAAGACGTATTGTAAGAATGATCTTTACAAGTCTAGTATGAAGAACGCCATGATTCCAAAGTGCACATTTGTTTAATGCTTGTTGACAACTACCTTGAAAAAAATGTTTACACGTCCTTCTTTTGAGAGTGTGATCAACAGATAGAATTGTGAACCAAAAGTCGATTGTACTTTATTCGATATATATGATGGAAAGATGTGGAACGAATTAGTGGATGAGGATGATGTCCAGTTTGTTTCCAAGGAACGATCATTACTATTGACACTGAACATTGATTGGTTTCAACCATTTGATGGAGTAACATATTCTTGTGGTACAATATACCTGACATTTAACAATCTGCCAAGAGAAGAGCAGAACAAGGCAGAAAATGTCATTCTTGTTGGATTGATGCCTGGACCTAAAGAAGCAAGCACCAACGAGATCACTAACTATTTGCATCCTCTTGTTGATGAACTTATGCTATTTTATAAAGGTATCACAGCTGATACATATAACTGCTCAGGTGCTCTGGTGCGTGCTGCTCTGTTGATGGTTGCATGCGACATCCCTGCTGCAAGAAAGACGTGTGGGTTTACATCTCACAACAGCACATGTGCATGCTACAAATGCAATCGTCAGTTTGGTCGTATTGATGGGACCACTGCTGTAAACTATTTTGGGCTTAAGTTTTCGGAATTGGTAGGCCGCACAAAAGAAGAAAATCACAGACATGCAAACCTGTGGAAGAATGCAAAGACATTGACAGAGAGAAAGCGATTGGAGATTGAGAATGATGTTTGTTGGTTTGAGCTTCATTGACTTGTGTACTTTGAGCTAGTGCGTGCAACCATTATCGATCCCATGCACAACCTTTTTCTCGGGACTGCAAAATGAATGATGGATACTTGGATTGCAAACAATTTGCTTGATGACAAAGATTTTGTAGAGATGCAGGAAGAGACTAATAGAATAGTACTCCCTGTAGGGTATACGCCTCTGAAGATAAAGATTGGAAAGAAATTTCCATTTATGAAGGCAGATGAGTGGAAATCATGGTGCCTGATATACTCTCCTGTTCTGCTTAAGACATGCCTGTGAGATGATCTGCTTGGCAATTGGATCCATTTTGTCAATGCATGCAGAGAATTGACAAAGTCAAGTATCACCAAAAATGGGATCAAAAAAGCTCACGAAAGATTGGAGGAGTTCTGTGTTGGTTGTGAAGACTTTTATAAACCAGATGTATTCACGCAAAACATGCATCTCCATCTCCATCTAAAAGAAATGATTGAGGACTTTGGGCCAATTTACGGATTTTGGCTATTTAGCTTTGAGCGCTATAATGGTGTATTAAAAGGGTTTGAGACAAACCAGAAGAGTGGGTTCAAGAATACCTACATGAAAAGATTTCTTGAGAGTTCTTATAATGGTAACTTTTGTCAAGGGCATCTCAGAAATGTTACCAGCTCTTTACTCCTCTCTCTCTTTCTCAAGCTATCTGGCCGTAAAATCTATAATCCTGCACTTTCGCCACATCCTTTGATACCATCATTCTTTCACTTGCCAACGTTCTTACAATCTGCTGAAAAGCCTTCAAAGCAAACATTTGGCAACGAACCTCTACCTCTTTCCACTCTACCATTGTGTTTGAAGCTACCAACAACAATAAGAAAATCTGAGTATGATTGTCTGCTCGATTTCTATAAAATTGAGTATGATGATGATTCTCTTTGCAGTGCCAAGACAACAATCAGGAATTATTGGTTTGTGAATGACCAAATCCAGAAGATTTCGTCCATCAATCTTCTTGGACAATTTTACACAGGTGGAGAAGGCTTGGTCGTGAGAGGATTGCATATACAAGTGAAATTTATTGAAAAAAGTGGAGACTCTGAGGAAAGATATGCTGGTTGTATTAAGTACTTGTTCTTGTACGATTTTACACCAAACCTCACGCACACCAACCTTTCCCCTTGTCACAACCCCCAACACATATTTGCCTTCGTTGAGTGATACAAAATTCCTCACCATCAACCTAGACTCAAGCACGGAATCGAGTTGTATGAGCCAGCATTTCTGAAATATGACTACAACAACATTCTGCCTGTCCACCGCATCTTGTCGCCAATTGCAATTGGAAGTCATGTGTCTGGTAGTGGTGCAGCAAAAGTCGTTGTTATTCCTCTGCCAAGAAAGCTGTACGCTTAATAAAATACTCTATCCTTTTTTTAAAATAATAATAATAATATAAAACATAGTTCATAGACATAAAAAGAGATGTGATAAAGAGTGCAACTAAAAAGACAGAAATTTGATTATATGCGTTTTGACCACGCAGACATTTTTGTGACCAAGCCACGAGGAATTGTCTTGTGTATTAACACATGACTCTGCGACTTCAACTGCGTTGCTCTTTTTCCCAAGTCATCTCTGGCAAGCTCATCAAGAAAGTCAAACACGGTATTCAACTATAAATGTATATATACATCAGGAATCAAACAACAGAAAAACCATTTTATATAAAACATTATCTCATCACTACGCCAATCAGGACGAGATGCAACAACAGAAGTATTGGTTTCTGTCTCATCACCAGACATTGCGTCTCTGTAAAAAACGCCATTATAATCCCAATTAAACTTTTCAGTGCCGGCATCCTTATGCTTTGTGTATGTTCTTTTTCTCTTTTTATTAAGCTACGATATATATAATATTTTAAGTATACTTGTCAAAATTGAATTATTATAAATAGAAATGCTTACAGCAGTCTTTCTATTTCATCTTCTGTTTGAGGTAGTGTTTGTCTGTCTGTCTTCTTCAGTAAGCTTACTAGCAGCCAAGCAATTGTAATAGCTGTTTACAATTATACCACATAGCTCTTTTGGTGGTATCATGGCTGCTACAGGTTGACGACGAATGTAAAGCATCAATTCACTTGCAAGATTCTTGTTAAACTCATCAGACAAACCAACATTGACATCCCAAGTTGGTTTATCATCATTCTCTCTGATCAACTCCAAATCATCTGTCTTAAAATTAATATCTCTTAACCGCCCCCAAATAATATTCTATTAAAGGTATATTGATGTTAGATTTAAAGAGAGATTGTTTTTATAATTTTAGTATTTGAGTTTACTGAGATCTTTGGGTGTCTTGAGCTGTTTATGATGTCCTGAGGATCCATATCAGAATCCAGAACAGCTTGCATGCCAGTTGATTGAGCACCCACCTGGCATTGTACTGTTCAAATAGTCATTCTATTGGAAAACAATATAGTTTGTGTTTAATTACCTTTCAATTCACTAACATCGGAACTAACATCTGTCATTTTGTCATTGAGTGTAGCAAGAAGACTGACTACATCATTAAAATCTGACACTGGAATTGACATATTTTCTGGTCTAGGAGCAATCATTAGATTTGACGATCCTATACGGCCAGTGTTGACTGCGTTGATCAATGGCCTAGATGTTGATCCATTGGTACGTGCATTCTGGTTGATGTTAGTTCTTGGAGCCATTATCTGTATTTTTATATAATAAAATAATAAGTTTCTGGTATGTATTGCTTGATATTTCTATTTTAATAAATTTTTAAGAAAGTATTTTACACGTAAAGAATTGTAGAGTAATTGAGTGATTAAACAATTATGTTAATAATTAAGCAAGCAAGTTAAGCAAGTGTATGAGTGTGTAAATACTTCTTTATTTAAATGATCAAGGAGATCAAAATATATTATTTTGAAAAAAATTGAGCTAGAAAACAACTTCTTTAGGTATATAGTAAGTAACAATTGTTTTATAAAACATATAAAGCTATACTTAGTAGACAATTTTTTTCAAAGTAAGAGAAACAGTCTAATAACTTTTTCAGGGTCTATGGCTTTTTCAAACACTGTTTTTTATTTTCTCACCTTTTTCTGTTTTTCTTTACTCTTTAATAATAAAAATAACAATCTTTTAATCCTATTATGTTTCACTTTAGACATTCTTAATATATACATATTATACAGATGTCTTTCATTATACAAGAGGTACTTTATCATTAAATATATCATTATTTTACAAACTATAGATTACTTTAAATAGTCATTACATATATTTCTCTTATATAATCTGTGCAGACAAAAAACACAAAAACATATTGGTGGCATATACGTATATATCTATATCAACATCTTCTTCCCAGTATTAAAAACAATATCTAACATCTACTTTAAATATAGCTCACCCTTGATTTACATATAGTCAGTAAAAACAAATCATTTAAAGAATATAAGAGTACTTGTTATTCATTTTATTATTGTGTTGTCTTTATTTTGTTTTGTTTTTTATATCAGCATTCTCACTCTCCTTTTTTATAGTTGAAATGGTTCTTCACATTCTTATATGACTGGTACTCAAGGACAAGATATGTTCCTTTAGTAAATATGTATATATATGTTTTATATTCCTTTCTTTGTAATATATACTTGAATGACACATCAGCTCGTAGCTTTTGATAATATAAATCTGTGTTTTATTCCATTATTAACAAATTATTCTAGGGTGCACCTTTTTTATAATAGACAATTTTTGAAAAGAGAACATTTTTTGGAATTTAAGTACCGATTCCAAAATAGTATTTTAAAGTCCGAAATGTGATATTTATTGATTTAATCTCAGCTTACGATGAGATTTGTAAAGCTTTGAGAATTGTTTCACAATTTCAAATGCATGTTCAGCATCATAACCAAGACTGTAGGCATTGATATAGGCAAAACTTTTGTGGAAGTATCTTCAAATCTTTTCAGGAACATCATCTTCTGGTGGGCAAACACTATCCAGAAACGAATTGATTTTTCTATTCAATGATTGAAAAGAATAATCACATTCACGTCATGCTTCTTTCTTGGCTGCTCCCCAGTATCTTTCGATCCAATTACATTCACAGTGGTATTTTGGATACAGTTCAAATTTGTGTCCACTGCCTTCAACTATTTCTTCGAGTGCTGATTTTTGGTTGGCAAAGTCTGGTTGTCTCTCCATAATATGGATTGTATAACTTCTAGAATCAGCTGTTGCGACATTATTGCAAGAACGTTTTAAAGAGTATCTCTCTGCTTCGTTTCTATATATAGAACGTTGCTGTAATATGCCACAAAGGCCAATGAAATATTTTCTGTATTTTTTATTCTAAATATGAATAGTTTATAGATACGTCTTTTAGTATAAAGTGATCCCTTATTGTAATTGTATAAATTATGTTTCTATTTGGATAGGATTGTATATAAATCACTTACTTTATGGAGCCGAGACTTGATTACTTCATATTCTTTGTTTTTCTTCATTACTCTTTTTTTAAAAAAAAACTTTTTGCTGTTCTGTATAGTCGTATTGCTTTCTGACATAAAATGAGCTGTCACAAAATTTTCCCTGGCCTGAGTCACTGTCTTTTACTTCAATTGCACACAAGTTCATGTTTTGTGCCAAAAGAGCGTCTTCAGGATAGGCTTTATGATTGCTGCTTTGATCAAAAAGAAAGACAGCTACTGCATTTGGGTGTATGGCATTGAAAAGAGGTATGCCATCTGCAAGCTGGGCACACATATGACTACTTTTCCAATTGCCTTCGTATTGAGCTCCAGGATAAAATATCACTCGCGAAGTTTTATACTGGTCTCCTACATATCCTCTCATTGTTCCATGACAAGGGCATTGGAACTCGGAGATCATTATTGATCTACCCTCAGACTTTGGCAAACAATAGCTTTGACTATCTTCCACCCAGGCGTACTTTTGATAGTCATTAGCATAAAATGTACTTTTGTCATGTGTGACAAATACATGCTGCTTGACACCTTCTGGCAATTGAGGATATGACACAAGAGAAGGTGTAATATTGTCATATTTCTCGGAGTATTGATAGTACTCCATCATGCGTTTGCTCCATGCATTTTGATAAGTAAGCACATCCTTGCGCTCGTGCCCATCAAAGTATACAACTTTTCCTGTAAGATAAACATAAGTTATATTAATGTGACACTCTATTTTTATAGAAAAAACCACATTCTGGTTTTCTATATTTGCCTACCTAAATGCTTAAAATGAAATCCCCAGGATATCAACTTTTGTCTTAGGCAATCTGTAGACAACGGCTTAATTGCACTACCTTCGATCTCTAACTCATCTGATAGTAAGCTGCTACCAATGGCCTTAGGCAGAATGATTTCTTTTGACTGAAAGTCCAGCAATACTTCTTTTAGCTCTTGGCTGACTTCTGAACCATTTGAGTATTTGCTGCTTGATGTCTTCATCATCAAGAACAGAGACACGTTTGGCATGCTTGCCTTGTGCACCAAGACTGATTCGTCTAGTCTCCAAATACTCCTTTGCATGTTGGCAAATCTTATGGGCTCTGTACCAAATAGATTTTTGCTTGTATACAATGTCGCTTGCAAACTTAGAAGCTGCCATTTTCTTCATGTCCATATTGATCAAAGCATATAAGTAATGATATGCTCATTCGTACTTTCCCATCTCTGCTACACCAAGTTTTTGCTGCTCTGAAGTCGAACTGATGACAGATACTGCGAACTTTGACAAGTCAATGATTGCATCTTTTACTCTGCTTTTGAACTCTTCCTTTGACTCGACTTCATCTGCACTATCACTTTCTTTATCCAATCCAATTTCTGTCTCAGCAGAAGAAGAGTTTGCGATAGGCAAAAAAAAGAAGTCAACTCTAGCACTTCCTTTTGCTGCTTCTCTTTCTGCCTTTTTCAGTCTACGAACATGTTGAGATGAGTATGATGAACGATTGCAACTGTATTTTCTATTGAGAGCATCTTCAGCTTTTTTGGTCCAAGAAAGTCTGAGATTTTTGACATCACTGCCAGAAGATTCCAAAATCTCAGGGGTAGGATCAACTTCCTTTCTAACTAACTCTACACTTTCGCTCTGAGAGTGAGAAAGTCTTTTAGCAGCAGCTTTTTGAGATAAAGCTCTCATTTTAGAATTGATTTTTGGCATTGTCGATTGTGTTTTTATCAGGAACAAATTGTTTTTTTTTAAAATAGATTGTCTTATTTAGTAACGTTTTACATTATGTAAGTTGATAAAGAACTCAGTTGGTTATATTATTGGTTGAAAAATGAAGCCATCATTTTGGTCGCACTGCTTAAACACTGAGATGTTATCTTGTTTAAAAAAACATTTTTGTAGAAAAGTAGTAGATGTCTCACTGCAGAGAGTTTTTAAATAGCATTAAAAGCATATTAAAGCAAACAGAAATCAAAAATATTAAGATCTCAGAAAGCCTTTTGGCTTTCTAGTTTTATTAATAAAAAATACACACTATAAAAAGATACACTATACGTTACACAAATATCAAATTAAAACCCAGGGAGCATTATTATTAGTCAGAAAATAAGAACATTTTTTGAGCCTCCCTGCTTAAATATCGAAACTTCATCTTGCTTAAAGTTTTTTTTTGCAGAGAAGTAAAAGAAGTCTCACCGCAGAGATCTTGTAAATAGTAAAGCAAACGACTCAGCGGTAACAAAATTCAAAAAAATTAAGATTCCATAAAGCCTTATGGTTTTCTAATTTTACATATAAAAATTGTTGATTATAAAAAAGGTGCACCCTAACAGTATGTAAGTATCTTTCTACTCCCTTTAATCAAATAGCTTCAGTAAGCATATATACTCACTATCCAAGTTTATTAATTCAAAAAATTCGGAAACAAAATTTATAAGAAGTATAATATAACAGATTAGTGTATTTAATAGTAATACTATATAGAATCCTTATTATTGCCAAAAAAGATTTTTTTTATCCAAAATAAAAACAAATAAAAAACCATTTTTCAAAACAAAACAATATCCAATTGAGAGACTCGTGCTTAGTATTTGCACCTATGAGAATTTTTTCTTCGATTCATTTAGCCAATAAACATTAAAGAAGTGCCCTGTTATTACGCCTGTTATTACAAAAACTAGGTCTACATCAAATTACAGGTGTAATCAGTAGTAGATAATACATTGTTCTGCATTTCGAATAGTCTATATAATCGATCCCAAGAACAGTTGATACACAGACATTATACTTAAACTCCCGGTTTTTATTTTTGGAATAAGATAATATTCAATTATTTTTGACACTTTATTCAATAACTTGTCAACTATGATTTCCTTAATATTTATGAGTAATTCATTTTTATATGACAAAATATTCTGATAATCAAAACCTATTATTATAATAATTCCCAATGGTTTTTGCAGTATATGTAATTTTTTTTTATTGACGTTGAGTATTCATATTTCTAATATTATCCATTCTATCTAACAACTCTTTAAAAAACAAGTCATATCATTTATCTCAAACATATCACAGTCAGAAATCATTTGCATGTGTTCAAGATCGAGTCTTTGATAATGAAATAAAGTGGTGTAGATGATAAGATCTATAATAGACTTATCAACATCATTTTGAGTACTTATAAAATCTTCTCTACTGTCCTCTTTGTCAAAAATCACAACTTATTCTTCTTCTTTGACTAACACTGCTGGTCTATACATTACCAAGTGATTGTCATCTCTTTGAATTATATATAAGATGTTAATCATATGATATCTTTTGAGAAAAAATACATGCTTGCAAAGTACTTGTCAAGAGATGTATCTGGGGCACACACAGCATTTGATTAAATCATTTACAGCAGTGATAGAATACCATATTGTATCATTTGTAAAGACATGATTTGCTACTTGCTATCAGAGCCATCCATACTACAGTACCAAAAAGAAATGTTTCGCCAATTTTAACATCCACCATGAATGGTAAAGAAGATATCACAACTTCAAATCCCTTTCTAAAGATATACAATACGTATTGAAATATAATACTTGGAACAATAAAAGTGAAAGACATATATATTAATAATGTAAAAAAAAGATACAGTTTTAATAGGAGATTTGCTTAAATTTCTTTTTCTTAAGTAAGGCCAATCGATTTGGTATATTCAAGCAGCATCTTCTACAAGTTTTTGCTCATATTTTGTTTCACTCTTCCAACAAAGCAGCCTTCAGCTCATTCGGAGAATTTGGTCTGGGGCGTCTTGCTCTGATTTGGTGATCAATGATTTCCCATATATTCTCAATGGGGCTAAGGTCAGGGCTGTTGGGTGGCCATTGCAAAACATCAATACCATGTTCTTTCTTAAACTTTCCTGCAACTTTTGATTTATGCGCCTTGGCATTATCTTCCTAGGACTTGTAGCTACTGCTGCTAGGTACAGGAAGAGCATGCAAGAATGGAAGAAAATGATCTCAAAGAACTTCTATATATCTTGGACCATCCATGTTTTCATCTAAAAAAACAAGTGGACAAAGTCCTCCTGACCAGATACACCCCCAGATCATAACAGATCCACTATTTCCTTGCACATTAGGGACAAAGTGATCCATATCAAACCTCTCACCAGTTTTGTGCCAGAGTTTTCTGCTTGAATTGTTCTTATACAGCACAAATGACGACTCGTCACTCCAGATAGCTGTTTCCCACTGTTTATTCCAGTCTTTCATGGTTTTGTACCAAGCTCGGCATTTGGCAATGTGTGCTTTGGTAAGAAAAGGCTTTGACACAAGTTTTACAGCAAAAATAGTTCATGCTGTGCAAAGCTTTACACATGGTAACCTTGCTGACATTCTTTCCCGTATCAGCACTAGCATCATCAGCAAGATCATCCAACGTTGACTACCTGTCTTTTTTGAGATTCGAGACAATATGTCTTTTGTCTCTAGGTGTGAGGATCTGTGGTCTTCCAGAAGACTTTCTGTTATTGGCAGTTCCTCTTTCTTTATATCTCTTTAAAAAATATGGAACTGTTAATTTGGGTACATTCAGCTTGGCTGAAATGCTGACAACATTATTTCCATCAAGTTGAAGACCAAGGATCTTTCCTTTTGTCAAATCTGAAAGCACATTATAGGGCCTACAAGAGTTATTCTTTTGTGTGTTTGACATTATGGTAGATTTGTTAATTAGTTTTTTAAGACGTTGAAAAATATAAAATATAGATTATAAAGCAAAGGTGCAAATAGGGTACCAGGGTGCAAAACATTTCTTTCTCAGACTGTAGTATTAATTACATTTAATGAGCTGATCATTACAGAAAGAAGTATGTCATCTTCTATCTTAGACGCAGCAAATTGATTTTTTGCAAGTTTGTTTTCTACTGGCTCCATCTTTCTATTGTTTAAATGAATACAATCCACTTCTTGTTTGTAGAAATACTTTACATCTTTTGTAAGGAGAAACACAAGGCAATCCAGTCTTCTGATTCTAGTATGACCAAAGTAGATAGTCTTGAGCTGGTTATGTCATGACTTGATATAGTTATTTGTCAAATATCTTCTATGTGAGTCATTAATATAAGGGCACCTCCATCTTTTAAGTAATACTTTGCTTCCAGTCCATTGTGTTTCGAAGTATCTCAAGAAGTGTAACTGGTTGGATCTATCGCGTTTGAAGTCAAGAATTCTTGTCAAAAATACTTATTTGTTTGACTTCATCAAGATATACTTCAGCTTGTTCTTTAACTCCTGCTTATATGCTGCCTGCTGAGCTGATGTAAATGACACATCAATTCTTACTTTGTTGTTGAGGTTTGTTTGTCAAGCACAAAAAATATGGAATTGACAATAGTGAATTGCAACATAAGAAAATACAGTTGTAATCGCATTAACTTTGGGAATACTACAGACAATAGTGATATTCAAAGAATAGAAGTAGCTTCTTTTACAAAGATGCATAAGCCATTGACTCATCAGTCTTACTGTCTAGGCATTTGTAATTATATAAGCAACAGGAAACCCTTTTCCAGTTACGTTGTGTGGAGTTCCTAAAAAGTACATGACTTCTTCACTTCTTACTGATATGTTATTAGTAGTGTCAAAACAGAATGATGTAGCTATTCTCATAACTCTTACTTGGCCAGGCAATTGAAAGCCAAAGGCAAAAAGATTGCTTTCAATGTTGTTAACATAAAAGTCTCCAATAAAAATGCAATAATTTCTTTCTGAAAATTTCTCATTCATTCAGATAGCAATAGATATCTTCTCATTAGAGTTGAACATATACAACAAATTTGTTATTTATTTTATTTTATTTTACCAAAACTGTTAAATACAAACTTTCTTTTATCTTTTTTTAACATATCTTCTTCATTCTATTGTATATCTCTTGATAATTTGACTTTCTAACACCAACATCCCAGCTGTCAATCTGTCAAAGAACAGATATTCTTGTGCTTCTACAGCTGCTTCCACTTCTCAGTTGATCTCCAATCAATTTAATAGCTTCAAAAAGCAAGGACAAAGTTCTAATCTCTGATCTGTCTCCAGAAACATGATTGTTATGGTCTCTTGTTATATAGAACGTAAGAGTAGTAGGAGATTTTTGAACTGATTTATTTTCAAAGCTCTATTACATCCACATATCTTTGATTATTTTTGTGCAGGGCGTGAATCTTGCTCTGATATATATATGTCTGTACAATGACACTGATGTGTTTCTCCAAAAATATAATCTTTTGAATCAAAACATCTTTTTTTATTTCGTTTTGTTGAACAAAGAGTATTGATTTTGTCAAGATAATGTCTCCATTTACTAGATTTTACAGTTACAACTACTTTAAAAAGAAGTATCTTAATCCCCTTCAAAGACATGTTGACTAATACATTCTGAATATTTGAAATATTGTAAATAATTGGGCTCGACATGTTGAGATTAGTGTTTAATTTGTATTCGAAATAAAGAGAAAGAGAAGAGAAGGAAAAGAGAAGGAATAAAAAAATTCGCAATAGAAAATTAACTTTTTTAAAAAGCCACTTACAAAGCCTCTGACAGAAAAAAGCCTCAAAAGGTTAATTTCAAATTTGAACCAGCAGAAAATAAGGCAATGCGTAATTCCTGCCATTCACCTTGCTAATTGGATGCTTTTTGTAAGAGCATGTCATTTGATAACTAAGCCGTCTATAACTGTTAAAGAAACTGCAGAAGCTCACAAGTATCTTCAAGAATTTTGTACCAAATGTCAGACTTTTTATAAAAAACAAGCAATTACTCCAAACATGCACTTGCATTTTCATTTTAGTAAGTTTATCAATGATTTTGGCACTGTTTATGCATTTTGGCTGTTTCGTTTTGAGCATTATAATAATTTGCTAAAAACTTTGAGACAGATCAGAAGGGTGCATTTGAGTCAACAATGATAAAGCAATTTCTTGAAAAAGTATACATCAGCAGCTATATCCACTGGAAAAATGATCTGACATACGTATGTGTAAAGGCGTAGTTACTCAGGTGTCAAGACGGGGTTTAACATTGAGTCCAGATATATATCACCATGTAACAAGTTCGTCTTAGCACCATGTGCCACGACCAGCTATACACATGTGTGGGGTCAAATAAAAATGACAGGGATATAGTTCCTTAGCACTTTTAGTGTGTTGATCTGACCTGGGATATTGAAAAGAGTTTTTTGAAACCAAGGTTTTATTTTTATATGTTTTATATGGAGCTTTAAAGGTGGATAATATATTAATTTTCGATCTTGACACATTAGTATAGTTCAACATTACACCTCTTTGTTATCTTTTATATCTAATTAAATTCAATACTTGAGCAATTCTTTGGATTCTGAACCATAGTATAGTTTAATCGTTTTTATTTTAATTTCAGAAATTGTTTTATTGGTAAAAGTTTATAATAGTATTTATTTGGAAAGAACAAAATGTTTCTAGAACTATAACAATCTTATAGTATTGATTTATTGGATGTCAGTTATTGCTTCTACTGGTCTGCTTGATACTGTTTGAATAGAATAATTATCTACAGAAAAGAAATATCTGAAAATATAAAAAGAAAGCAGACTGTTTGTTGAAATACAACAGTCTTTAAGAAGCATAGACAAATTATTAGCTATGTGTGCTGGGTACTACATTTAATGTAGTATGCTTTTACATTTTGTATACACTTTTATACTTCTATTGTAAATATTGGAAAAGAGTGAGCAAAAAATAGATGTTGATATTGATAATCCATGGCGTTCCTTATGATATCTTTCACTATAAAAACAACGAAAAACATTAATTTTTGTGAATTAAATAAAACAATAAATAATTTACATACAAGTAGCAAGAATATATATTAACAGAGATAGATTGTCTTTGTAAACACTTGATAGAACTCTAGTGAAAAATAATAATATTTTATGTTAACACATTATAATCTTAATATAACTAAAATATAAAATAAAGTAGTGATTCTTACCATGTAATGTCATTTCCAGCTATATAATGTAAGGGAAATCAAAGACAGGATCAACAGTGTTCATCTATAATAAGACTTCATTTTAATAAGATATATGTCAAAATAATATATATATACACTACCTTGATGTTTTTAACCAAATTCATTTATAGCAGTTATTCTTGATGATCAAGTCTGTAATAAAAAAAAACAAGTCAGAAGGATTTTTATAGATGTCAATTTCGCAAAATATAATATTGACCTTTGTTAATCTGGACAGCGATTGTGAAATGAATGTATTTAAATGAGAGCAAATGAGTATTTATTATGATAATAAAAGAATGTATTAATTTTTATTGGTTATTTTAAAAGTATTTAATAAAGAAGTATGTTACCAAAAAAAAAAGCCACTAATATAATAATGACAAACGTTGGAAAAGAGAAAAGGAGCAGAAAAGAAAAAAGAAAAAGACATAAATTTTTTTTCCGCGTTTGAAACAAAATACCAAAAAGCTTATCCAATAAACAATAGCAAAAAAAACTGAAAAAAGATGATTAATTGAGGTCAAAAAATGTATCAAGGCCGATTTGCATCTCAATGTTTCAAGAAGTTGTCTTTGAAGTGTTCCTGAAGCATCACTACGGCCTATAAATACTTAATATTTCTACTTGCAATTCAATTTCACTCACTCTTGGTTATATCATCTCAAAAAATCTACGTTGCAAACTTACTGTAATTTACATAACAAAATAAATAGATTGTCTCTTATAAAAGAGAATAAAAAAGAAAAAGAACTAATATTAACAATTGAAAATATTATGATGTATTACAGATAATACCTACCTCCAACCGCAGACTTGCTCCTTCTCTTGATAGTACTGATGTCCAGTTGCTACAAGCTTTGAATGCGATGAAAGAAGAGATGAAGGCCATAAAAGATAAGATCACACTGATGGGTACAAGAATTGATGTAGTCATCACTGGTAACATAACTGCCATCAATGACATTGATGCCTTGTCTGCCCTTCCAGCACCTGCACATGTGCCCACTAGTGTTGCATCCACTTCTGCTGCCCTTCCCACCACTGAATCAGGTGATACTAATGCTGTATTTGTAAGTATAAAGATACAAAAAACACTTGCCAATCTTGTTGCTAATTGAAATATGATAGGGATACATTCATGGTTATATGTGGAACCCAAAGCTAAAATCAAGAGACCAGGCAGAAATCCAAGCGAACGCCATAAAACCAAAGTGGGCAGTTGATGTTCATTTTGATCGCTCTTCAAATAGAGAGTTAGTCAAACAACTCTTATATTACTTGGAAAAGAAGTTTGCTGGCACTGATATGAGGATATGCGACCTTCGTAAGTGTATATACACAAACTTCTGTAGTAGACGTTGCCAGCAAAGGGAACTTCTGGAAACAGAACGAGCCTTGAATACTAATTCAAGAAGATCTGGCCGTGAAACTGATGTAAACTATATTTTCAATTTATGCTAAATAATAACAATTAGAATATTAATTGTATTGTCTTTTCCCTTTAGAACTACACTCGCCGTCACCTTGCTTATGATGCTTACAAGGCTGACATTGATCTCAAGATGGGTTGAAACTGCTCTGGACTGATCCAAAAGTCAGTCATGTCTGAAGGCGAATCAGACAATGATATGTCCCCCTCACTGGAAAAAAGTAGAAAAATACTGATGTGTATATATGGGCAAACGGTACTGGAATAACGTGATATATCATAGTTGATATTTTTTTCCACTAGGTTTTAAGGTCATCTAGCACTGTATGTGCGAGACTTACAAACACTACAGTATATGTAGATGGGGGGTTCCGCAAGTAAGGTTTGGTAGCACTTTTGATATACTCGTTATGCTTAATAAATAAATAAAAATATTTAAAACTACGGATTTATCTCGGTATTCTTGACACAGAACAGGAAAGGTCAAAGACGGATTACATCATGTATATTGCTCCAATGGTTTATCTGTACTACACCTCACCTTTACTGACCACCTTTACTGACCATCTATACTGACAGTTCTTTAAAACCTCCAATCATCAACAGCATAAAAACACGTCTTTAAAATTATGGACCAGTAATATGTTCTTTATTTATTTGGTTTCCCGTTCTTGTTAGGTTGGTAATGGTTTACACTTTTATTTTTATTGGAAAGAATAGAATGTTTCTAGGTTTCAAATCTAATAAAGCTATTCTATATCCTCAGCTACTTCTTGCTCGGCAAGCTTGTTATATTTGGGATGAAAAATTTTCTACAAAAAACAAATACCTGAAGAAAATGAGGTGCTCGTTACCTTTTTTTAGGGGTAAGAGCAGTACTCTTTGAGAATAGATAAAACATTAGTGATGGGAGTGCGTGCGTGTTTTATACTGCAAATTTTATGGACTAATTAATACTTACATTGGAAGTACCCAGTACAAATGGACAAAGAAATAAAACATTTACAGTAAAGCACGGGATTATGATTTCTTTGACTATAAAACGATAGGAAAGAATTAATTTTTGTGAATTGCGTGATAGAATAATTGATTTACATACCAAAGGCAAAGGATTTCTTTGCAGACCAAGATATTATCTGTAAAGTGGTAATATCGTCTCTAGTAGAGAATATACATTAATATACAGTATAAATAATATTATTGTATTTATAGAAGTAAATAAAAGGCTTACCATGGCAATGACGGTAGCATGGGATGGAAGTTCTTGAGGAATGGCACGTTCGTAAGAGGGATGTTCATCTATAATAGAAATTATATTCAGTTAGATAAATATTAAAAAGAAATAGATTAAAATAAAATAGAATATTACCATGTCAATATCCGTGTTTGATTGTAGAGAGTATTTTTGGCGATGTGGCCTATATTAAAGAAAGAAAAAAGTCAGAATGATTGTATGGAATGATGGCATAAAGTATATTTACTAACCCTGGCTAATCCGGATGACTGTTGTGAAGATGGCGCATCAGAATGAGACAAAGAGTGAGTTTCTATGACATTAAAATATATTGTTATTTTTTAGTTATACATAAAGAAGTATATATTTCTTTTAAAACAAAGAAAGTGCCTTACCATAAAACCTTGCGAGTGTAAAGAGTGAAGAGAGAGAAACAGATAGAATACCTATGACAGACAAAAAAATTAATTCTTTTGTTCTTTGTAAAGAAGTATTTTGAACCAAAAACAATCTTACCAGAAAAATTTGCAAATATAACAAGAATTGAAAAGAGAGAGAAAAGAGGGAAATAACAAAAAACGAATAAAAAAAGTAAAAAAAAAAAATCTTAAAAAAAAAAGAAAAAAGTGTGTTTAAAACAAAAGACTAAAATGATTTCATCAAGTCCCAAAGCAATATGAAAACCGATTTACATCCCAGTCATTACAAGAAGTATTAATAGAGATTCGTATATCAAATATATTTTGAATATATATAATAATCATACCTTTCATATAATACACTTTCCCTTGCTCTTACTCTCTTGCTACTTACTACACTTATACTCCCAAATCAATACACTTGTTCTAACAATTCAAGTATGTAAACTTGATACGATTTATTTTTAATTAAATTTACATAAATTTAATTGTAGAATGACAGCAATAATAATAATATAATCTGAAACTAATCATTATAACCTTTCATTTTATTATATTCTGTAGACAATGACTAACACAAGACGTGAATGCGCAATTGCCCTTCGTCCTGTTGAGATTACCAATCAGCAGCTTATGGAAATACTTTCTACTGTGAGAGCTGATATGTCTACCGTAAAAGGACAGATCGGCAATGTTGAGCAAACTCTGACCAACATGAATGGCAGAATTGGCGTTCTTGCCACCACCAGCACCAACACCATCAGTGCCATAGATAGTTTGGCCAGAACTCCCCTTGCTGCTCCTGTGAGAGCCGAACTCACTGTTGCTGCACCTGTTGTCATCTCTAACCATGAGCCTACCCGTGAAGAATCTAATGCAGTTTATGTGAGTAACATATTATAAAATATTTTATCAATTCATTTTCTCATGATTTATTTATCAGGCTCATATTCACAACCTTATGTGGAAACCCAAGCTTAGCTTGAGAACGCCAGAAAATATCCTGGCCAACAACCTCAAGCCCAGATGGGATACAAATGTTGCTTTCAACAAATCTCCCAACAGGGAGATAGCCGAGAGACTTCTTTCTAACCTTGAGCGCAGGTTTGGTTCCTCTAGTATGAGACGGAGTGACCTCCGAAAGAGGTTGCACACCAACTTCACTAGTAGAACCCGTCGTGAGAGAATGTCTGATGATGAGATAGCAGAAACAAACGCTCTTACACGAAGAGCAGCCCGTGCAGATGATGTGAGTATTATGCTAATATATATAGTTTATAGTTGAAAATTAAAAATAAAAATAACAAATTAACAAAACTTATTACTAGAATGAGTGTCGCCGTGTACTGGCCTACAAAGACAATAAGGAGGCAATTGATCTTGTAATGCTCAGAGACTGTGCCAACACTCTCCAAAAAGCAGTAATGTCAGATGGAGAGTCTGCCGATGAAATGGACGAGGATGGCATAAAACATGTCATTCATATTGTACAACCAGGCTGGAGAAGCGATGAGGTAGATTAATTTGGAGTAATACGTTTGTATTGGTGTATTATTATATTGAGTGAATTATTAACGAATGTATTTCAGTGCAACCGTTTCATTGCACTTGTTGACACTTATGCTGTCCAGGCCATGGGGTCAAGTGCTAATCAAAGGATCCGTAGGATCACTACTAGTGTGTCCAACTCAGCAGTCCCGGATAACATTAGCCCCAATTTTCCTCGGTGGGCTCTTAGAGACGGGCTCTAAATAAAAAAAAATGTTTCTCTCTTTTTATCTACGTATTACTTTTTACATACACAATACTATCAATATATATAGGGAATTTGTTCTGTTTTTTTTTGTATAAGAAAAGGAAATTCAAGTGGGGGTTTTTTTTTATTTTAAGCATAAAGCTTTTTTGGCAAAGCAATTACTAACATCTTACTAACATTTCTACTTGTAGTAATCCTGGCTGTAGCAATCTCTAAAAAGATGCGGTGCACAGGTACAATGCAATGGCGACTATCGGGGGAGAAGGTGGGGAGACAAAACTCAAGACCGTCATCCTCACGCAATCTATCAGAGGAAGTATTAAACCACTTGATATATGCGAATACATGTTGATGATCATGAACCATGCGAGTCAGGTGGAGATTGCTGTTAGAAGGGTGTGTAAAGGAGTGTGTGAAGAGATACTGTATTTGTCCAGCATAGGCTAGGGTATTTCTACCGTCACTACCAACAAACATTACGTGGACAAGAGAACCACAACTAGCTGAACCGTTTTTACCACGGTACTGTTGACCAAGTAAGTCAATGAACTTCAACTTTGTGATTTCATTGTCAACAAAGGAGTTTGTGAGCGTGGCATATTGGTAACTGACAAGGTCGGGAAGATCATAGGATGTTTTGTAGTGCTGAAGCAGATGGGCATAGTCGGTTTCATCCATCAGTGATGATTTTTTTAGCTGAAGAGGAAAAGTCGAAGGAGGGAGAGGTTCGTTACCCTTTGGAGGAAGATGTGGGTTGGACGATGCTAGTAAGAATGATTGCAATCGGAATGGACGGGAGGAGAGAGTAATGACTGTGGTGGTAGGTGTGAATTTCGGAGAAAGCTTTGAGAGAATGTTGAAAAAGGGGACGTGGCTAGAACTTTTCAGAACAGCATTGGCATAGTCACCCTTGAATGCGTTTTGAACAAAACTTCTCATATATGTTGCCTCAAAACTATCTTTTCCGTTTGTCTTTATATGCTTCAACAGGCCATTGTATCTCTCAAACCCAAAGAGCCAGTAACCGTACACGGGTCCAAAATCACGAATGGTCTCGTGAAGGTGGAGGTGCAGGTGCATGTTGCAGGTGAGGATGGTGGGAGTGTAGAGTTTGGTAGCCTTTTTGCAAAACATTTCCAGATAGTTGTGGGCGCTGTTCACTTCATCAAATGTGATGCTTGGCTTGATAAGATAGCGGCATGCACGGACGAAATTCATCCAGTTGTTGTACATTTCAAATGGTAGAACACCATGCAGCAGAACAGGAGAATACACCAGTACCCAGGATTTCCAGTCGTCGGCTTTCATGTAAGGAAAGCCTTTTCCAATCTTCGATGTCAGCTTTGTATAATCCCTCGGAAGAACCATTGTCTCTGCGATTTTTTCCATGGCAGCAAACTCTTTGGCTCCAATCGTTTTCTTATCGACCCACCGGTCCATCATTCTCTTGGGCGTCCCCAGGAATAAATTATGCATGGGATCAATGATCGTTCCACGTACTAGATCAAAGTATCCAAGGCGTTGCAACTGCGACCATCGAACACCATATTCGACCTCCAGCTGGTGCCTTTCTGAGGGTGTACTCGCACTCTTCCACTCCTCAGCATGCAACCTGTTCTCTACACCGCTACGAATATTCCAAAGCGAATAATCGAATCCACTGAAGTCCACCTGATTTGTGTTGGGCAATCTGGGGAACTGGGTTGTACACTTGTAGCACGCACATGTACTATTGTGGGCTGTAAATCCACTTGTTTTCCTGGCAGCAGGGATGTCACACGCAACCATCAGCAAGGCAGCACGGACATTAGCACCAGAAGGGCACTCGTAGGTCGGGACTCACATTCCAACATACAACTGCTTCATCTCGTCTACCATGGGCTTGAGATAGTTATTTATCTCCTCGCATCTTGGCTCCTTGGGACCAGGCATCAAACCAACCAGAATTGTGTTCTCAGGCTTGAACCGTACCTCTCGAGGCAGATTATTTACAACCAAGTAAATTGCACCAGAAGAGTAACTAACTCCATTGAACGGCTGGAACCAGTCTATGTTGAGTGTCAACATCAATGAGCGAGGACAAGCAACAAACGAGACACCACTTGCATCCTTCAGCTCTTTCCACATTGCTCCATCATATACGTCGCACATAGTATCGACAATCTTAAGCTCCGTGTTCCAGTGACGGATTTGCTCTTCAAAACCAGGACGAAGGAAAAGAACAGACAAAGCTTGCTTGAGGGACTGGTACAAGTATGCTCGCTTTGATACCAGTGCACCTGAAGTTGACTCTTTCATCAACTTACAACCACAAGGAGAGCGTGCACCAACATTTGTGAAAACACAATGGGGAGGTACAGACATGTTTTCTTCATAGATGCAATGGCAGTTTGGACATGACACAAATCGCTTGATGCCTTTGGTGATAGACGAAAAGCCAGTCATTTTATGTAGCCCAGCCAGACTTTCGGGAAGTTGGAAATCTTGTCCATAAATCTTCAAGAGCTCGTTGATGAACTCAATCAAGACAACAGAACCCTTATTGACCACGTAACGAGATGCAAACAGTACTGTAAAAGTAGCAATAAATCTGTGCACTGGATTCTCGGGCATACCAGAAGCAGCAAAAGGGTCTTTTTTTTAAAAAAAAAATTAACACACATTTTTTTTAGTTTTTTTTTATGTATTTAAAACTGACCCTCATTGTTAAACTCTTCAACATAAATCTTGGCAGTGTCTTCTTCGTCATTGTCATCACTGTCATTGTCATTGGTCGTGTCAGACTCAGCACCATTGTAGTCATTACCAACAAAGACGTCATTGTCAAACGTTGAGACGGCATCCGAAATAGGTGAGTTGGCCTGACCGTCCATTGCTTCCACAGAATCGGATTGATACATCGGGATTACTACAAATATGGAATATAATAGTTTATTATTAGTTTTTCTTCTGCGTTTCATATAAAAAATGTCTTACTTTCAGTATCTACTTCCATGCTTCTCTTTTCAGCTATGTTTTTTAAAATAATAAAAAATAAAAATAAAAGCGATTATTACTCGGTAGACAGATAACAGCACTGAATAAATTATACAACTCTTGAATATCTCAGTACCTTCAAATCTAGCTCTTTTATTATGATGCTGAGCAGTACATCTCGATACTCGGGAAACTCCTTGATCATTATTATTGCATCTGGTGCAGTGGCAATCAGTGTTGTGCATTTGAATAGAAGGAAACATAGTGTATGTATTTTGAATTATAAAATAAAAAAGGAAACAAGAGTGCTACAAATATTTCATTTGATACGGTTTTATAGTAAACCAAAACGTATTTTTTATTTTATTTTTATTTTATTTTTATTTAAGCCAATAGAATACATCAAAACTACACCCCCAACTTGATGAAAAAAAACTGCTGAGATGAAAAAAAATCCTGACATATCCACTATGATCCGACTACCTGGACAATATGTTAATTGTCCTTATTTTTCCAGTGATAATGTCTCAGCAAATCAATAAAAGTATTTCTAAGAAACAAAAAGATCTTTCAGATTATGAAAAAGGACATATTATTGGTGGTGCTCTCCATAAGATTTCATTGACTGCCATTTGGGAGAAGACAGGCATATCCATGACAACTATACATAGCACAGTTCAAAGATGGGAACAGAATGGCACGCCATTAACAGAAAAATGCCAAGGACGTCCATCAATTTTGGGTGAGAGAGATTTATGCTAGCTTAAAAACGAAATAAAAAAAAATCGTAATGCCACACTTGGAGAACTCACAAACGCCATGAGACTCATGATTAGCAAGTACATTTGCAAGAATACCATCCGCAAAACTATTCATAAAATCAGAACGTCTTGCCATCCTGTGTTTAAGCCAAGGCTATCCAGAACACATAAAAAGAAGCGATTGTTGTTTGCTAAAAGTTGCAAAGAAACCAATCAAAGATGGGATCGTGTGATTTGGAGTGATGAGTCTTGCTTTATGGTTTTCCCAAAGGATGGAAACCTTAGAATTTGGCGCTTTCCTCTGGAGAAGTTCAAGTCTGATTGTATTATGCCTAGAGTACAGTTTGGAGATGGTTCAGTGATGGTTTGGGGCTGTGTGTGGGCAGAAGGAGTAGGCCTACTAAAAACGATTATTAATAGCCTTGACCAATTTGGCTATATAAACCTTTTGGAAAGAAAGTTGCTCTCATTTTATGGTCGCCTAAGTGAAAGACATGACGGGGAGTTTATTTATCAAGAAGACAATACTCCTTGTCATAAGTCAAAACTTGTTGAGAACTGAAAAAAGACCCATAATGTACCAATAATGGAATGGCTACTGAATAGCTCACATCTTGGTCCTATTGAAAACCTATGGGCTCATTTGGGTCGGATGGTAAGGGCAAGAGTACTAGCTCCAAGAACTATTAAGGAACTAGACAAGGCTATCCTTGAAGAATGGAAGAAAATACAGGTTGCAGTATGCAAGGCCTACTGCATGTCTATGCCAACTCGCATAGCCCATATGAAGAAAGTTTGCAGTGATGTTACTAAATATTAAACTTTCAATAAAAATTATTTTTCTTAATATTTAAAGATTATATATTCTTATTCTAATGATTTTGAAAGTGGTTTCTTAAGTAAAAGTAGACAAACAATGAACAGAAAGTTAAGGATATTATTTTTTCACTTTGGTAGAAGCTAAAATTTTCTTTCATTTAATTGATGAGACTGTATTCCTTGCATAACAACATCATAAAAAAGATGTCTTTGTGCAAAGAAAGAATCTAATCTTTCAGATTTTTTTTCTCTTTTACAATATGTTGCTCCCATGCTGTTTACTCCACTGTATCTGTAACTGTAGCCTCTGTCTTTTTCAAATACATAGTTCATAGAACTGCCACCAGAACAAGTAAAAATAATATGATTTCTTGGATATAAAGCACCCTGTGCAATCAAATATCTTTATATATATTAAATATTAATATATAATAATAAAAAATAACTTTTTTACTTACCGTTTTGCAACTTCAGATGTATATATTGATGTCATAACATAGCTCAAAGGAGGAATAGATAATGAATGAACTGATAAAGAAGATTGATTATCTATTTGAAAATAAATAAAGTAGAAATAAAAGAAAAGAAAGCAAAAAAAACAAATAAACATAATATTTAAACAAAATAAAAGCCGTCAAAAAAACTTTTCTGTGACGTAGCACGTGACTAAGCCACAAAAACTATATTATTTATAGGATTATAATACTTAAAATAGATACTATAAATTTTATAATTATATTTCCTCTATCAATTTGTGATGTTATGTGATGCTCCAACTGTATCTATATAGCTTACATTCACGGCATTGTTTTAAGTATATGCACGTCACAAGACGTCGCAAAATTGATAGAGAAAACAAACTTTAAAATAATTAATAATAATGATTTAAATATGTTATGTTTCACTAAATATTTATATGTCTTTTGTGAGAATTGAACTCGTGATCTACAGATTGCTTTAAAACACTGTAAGCAAAGGGCGGAGTTTGAATTCGGAGCTTTAAAACCCATAAACCTTCAGAAATCCCAATCTGATATATATATGTTATTAACAGCTAATCTTATATGTATATAAGATATTTACAGTCTATCTCATACATATACAAGCTGATGACAGCCAATCTGATATATATATAAGCTGATGATACTGGTTTTATCCATTCAATTGGCGCCCATTTCCATCTAATTAGCATCCGTTTCCATCTAATTAGAACCCATTAACATCTGATTAGCTTCCATAGAAATTGAATTTGCATCCATTGCCAACTGAATTTGCTCCCATTGCAATCTGAATTTGCTCCCCCCCTTTTACTATTGGCAGAAGGGTACATGGCACTCAAATTTTTTATCCTTATGGCTTACAATTTTTTTATATAACCGTAGTATTTTTTTTTGTAAATGTTGTATTTTTTTTATATAACCATAGTATTTTTTTTTGTAAACGTTGTATTTTTTTATATAACTGTAGTATTTTTTTTTGTAAACGTCGTATTTTTTTGGCATAAAACATGGATATTTTTATTAGGCATAATTAGTTGATAGAGAAATAGAACACATAATAAGAAGTAAGATATAATGAAATATACAGTAATAAAAAAAGAAAAGCATAAAGCAGTAAAACAAATAAAAATAAAATAAAAAAAGACATAGAGTGTAAAGAGCTTAAATAGACATAAAAGACATACTTAAAGCTTTCGCTCTCTGTTCAAACAGCAAGGAAAGAATGAAATGACATGGTTAATCCAACCCAAACAGTCCGAAAGAGTGACAGTCTTAGCTGATTCTGTAATCCTTAAGATGAGCCCGTCTGACTCTGTAATCTCTTCTCTGCGGACACCAAACTTGATCTTGGACCACATTTCCTCAATTGGATTCAGGAAAGGTGAATACACAGGAAGATATGCACACTTGTATCCACGGGAAGAAATAAAGTCTTTCACCTCATCGGCCTTATGGATAGGAGCGTTATCCATGATGAGATAACGTCCTTGCATACCCTGGCTGTCCAGAACGTCCATTGTATGACTAAGAAAGTTGAGGTAGTGCTGGGTTCTGGTGCCAATTTGGCCGTTCACCTCAACGTTGGTGTAGATGTCCAACTTTCTCTTCTTCTTGGTTGCAACAGCAGTGGGTTTCTTCAACGAGAGGCTGACAATCCCTCTCTTGCGCATTGCACCAAGGATGGTGATGGACACACCTCTCTGCATCGGGACAGTTGTCTTAGCCGGGGTGCCACTGACGGAACGGCCAAAAGTTCTCTTGATGTGCATGTTGAAGCCTGCTTCATCGATGAACACACAGTTCAACAGATAGTTGAAATCCGCAAGTTGTTGCCACTCCAAAATGCGGTCTCGTCTCATCTCAATTGTGTTGACGTTGTCTCTCTTCTCAGGCAGCTTCTCCAACTTCTTCACCAAGTGCTTCTGGATTGCTGATTTGGTAATCTGCAGCCCAGAGAACTCTTCCATGACAGCTATCCTTGCTTGTTCCAAGGTAGCATCTGGTTTATTTTCGAAAAACTTCAAAAAAAAGCAGAGTGCGCCTGGAACAACTTTTGGTTGCCATGTTTTTGTTCTTTAGGCGCAGAAACCTCCTCAACCTCCATCGTCTCCAGCCCATTGGACTTATCAGTCTTCACTGTGGCAGCATCAAAATCGGCCTGGATCTTCTCTCTGGCCAGCCTGACATAGTTCTGGGCAGTCCGGACATTGATCCCCGTTTCCCTGGCAGCGGCAGCAGCAGTCTGGTTTTCCGAGAAAACCAACGAGAAGAGCTTGTTCACCTGGTTTTGGTTGTACTTTTGGTACGAACCTTGACCTATGCTTTCTGCAGTGGGAACAGAATCAGGATCGACCTTCTCCGGCAGATTCGTCTTCGGCTTCTGTGCAACAATTGTCTTGGTTGTGGCCTCGTTGACTTCGGTTGGCAGGAAACTTTTGAGACTGAGGAGGTTTGTGACTGCTGGGTTTCCGGCCGAGGTACGGGTCCATTCCATATTGGCATGGTTGACAAAGACATCTATCACAGATCAGAGTACAACTTCTCCATGCATTTTGCCAACAATCTCTTGGTTGAAATCGCACAAGGGGTCGAAAGAAATTCCAGAAAACTGGGTTTGGTCTGCAGAACTGCTGTGACTGACCATTTCACAGTGCTTGTCCATAACAAATTCGAGGGAGTTGTTGGAAGTAGGCATTTTTTTTTGAAAATAAAAAGGGTGTTAAAATCGAGGAAGAAAGATAACTGAGAAACTTTTATTAAGACACTGGGGTATATATACCAAAAAAAAATATTTTAATAACTTAAACGTTTCTACCAAGGTATAGTCTTGTCCTGTTGTCTTAATATATTTGGATAAAGAACGTGTTGAAGAATAATGAATGTTTACATATTAAGCTTCTTCACACTTTTAAGAACATTTATTTTATTAGCCGATTTACAGTGCTACCAGAGCCTTGATGGTGTCCTGTCCTCTGTCTCGAAGGAAGGGGTGGGATTTCTCCTCATGGGTTTGCCCAACCAAAAAAAAAGATAAAAAAAAAATAAAAAAAAAGAAAGTTTTTTTTTGTATAGAGCCAAGGAAAAGCTCGAAATTCAGTTATTGAGATTTTCAGTTTTTCAGAAATTTCTGCGGTTAGATACCATTTTATTTTCAGTTATTAAGATTTTCAGTTTTTCAGTTATTGAGACTTTCATTTTTTCAGTTATTGAGACTTTCAGTTTTTCAGAAATTATTTGCAAAAAAATGGTTATGTATATTATAAAAATTTATGAATAAAAATGCTAGTTATACTATTTGGAGAATTATTTTTAAAATTGCTATTACATTTTTCTTTTTTTTATTTCTCTTTTTTTTTTTTTTTTTTTATTTCTTTTTTTTTATTTCTTTTTTTTATTTCTTTTTTTTTCTTTTTTTTATTTCTTTTTTTTATTTTTTTTTTATTTTTTTTTTTTTATTTTTTTTTTTATTTCTTTTTTTTTATTTTTTTTATTTTTTCATCTCTTTTTTTTTTCATCTCTTTTTTTATTTCTTTTTTTTGTCATGAGCTTGTGCTATTTTTTGTTACTGTTTTTGTGTGTGTAATATTTGATTTTTTTTTGGTATTTTGTATCATGAGGGTTTCCAAAATTGAGATCGGGTAGTATTGTGGGCAAAGTATAATTCTTGGACCGCTTTCAGTTGTTTAACAGATTGTTGGACATTTACTTGTTTCGAGTGCAGATTACAAAGAGTTGTTGAGTTTGATATTAAGAAGATCAGGATTCTGACATTGTAAAATGGTTGGAGCAGGTGCTGAATAAATATAGCATTTTTGGATTATTTTTTGTAATGGTATTAGATGCTTGTGTAGGACCAGGTTCATAAGAAATACAATTGCTGTGGTAGTCAATCAGATTACTGGATATTTGAGATAAAAATTGGCAAGTTTTTGTGTGGTCAGTAGAGTGAATTCTACTGTTGGATTTCGAAAAAGTATGGTCGGTGAAATGCACTTAAAAGCATTATGAATATGTGTAGACTGGTTCCTATTGTACAGATAGATGTTTGATCTTGTAGTTTCTTTGTAGGTGGAGAGTTGAATCGTCACGTTTTCTTTTCAGATTTATAGCTTTTGTTCAAAATACTATAGATTATTTAGAGATTAATATCAATGACTCCGAGGTATAGGCTTTATTTACATACAGAAACATAATGTGATCTGGAAATAATAAAAAAATCCATGAGGTGTAGAGCTTTAAGCAGTGTTTTCATTGTCAGAGTAATATTTAATTGTTGAAGTGAGCATGAGAATGAGATTTATTGCTGATTTAAGAAGAGAAATAAAGAGTTTTGGTATATAAACACCAAATGGAAAGAGAGAGAATTAAGATATCTGTTTTAAAAAAGAATGTTTATAATAAATTTATGGCTGCAGGTAATATATTGTCCTATTTATTTTTTATCTCCTTGAGTTCAATTTGTACTACTTTATTTAGTGGACCTTGGAATATTATTTTTTGATATAAAAAGCTGAAAATATAATGACTAATACTATTTAACAACAACCACTGGAAAAGAGGTGCGGTTTTTTTATGTGTAAAACTGTAATTAATTATGTGAAAAGACCAGGTTTTACAATGTGATCAGATAGTTTTTACAAGTGTATGAAGCTGACTTACTCATAGGTGGTAAGACCAACTTTCGAACATAGGAAAAGGTCAGAACAGCAGGATAGTAGGATGTGTTTGCATTTTCTGTATATGGGTTTTTACCACATGCACTAAAACGGCAACTCAGAATTATGTTTTGTTGTAATATATCCTACCGCTTTCTGATTAAAAGAACGATAAATGAAAGATCGATTATACGGATATGCCAGTTTTTACATTGTTTAATTTATGGATATGCCAGTTTTTACAGGGTTTTGTTGTATTTGAATTTATTTTATCCAATCTTAGAGACTTCTTCTTATACTGTTTGCTTCCATACACTTCTCCGATCTTTAATTTATTTATAATAATTATTGGTTTATTTTGTTTTTATTAGAAAGAAAAGAATATTCTTAGGTTTATAGTACAGTGGTTATATTTAATATTCAGGAACATTCTGGCTAGTGTTCTATCCTTCATACAATTTGAAATGGCCAATGTTCTGATAAAACAAGTATTCTCCAAACAATATCTCCCAGAGAAAAGCCCAGTTGTGTGTTGCTTGCTTGTAAATGGTTGTTCTATGAAATTAGAAAAGTGTTAGCTGTTTGAACAAGAAATCGTGGATATTAAGAATATATATATGTAATTATGCTTGCAATATAATAGCTTACCAGAGACAAAAAGAAAAGGCGTCATGAATGCGAACCATAGTACTCAATACACTTTATTTGGCTATAAAAATGCTGAAAAAAAATTATTTTTTGTGAACTGTGTGGTAGAATATTTCATTTACCTACCCGAAGCAAAAGGATTTATTTGCAGACCAAGAGAGTACATAGAAGATGCTAATATTGTCTTCAGTAAATGATATACATTAATATACAAAATAAATAATATTGTTACATGTACAAAAAAAAAATACCATGTCAATGACACTCGTATGAAATGAAAGTTCTTGATTCGCGATGTGCTTATGAGAGGGAGGTTCATCTATAATAGAAATTATGTTAAGCCATGTGCTTATTAAAAAGAGATAGATTGAAATAAAATAAAATATTACCGTGTTCATAACCGTGTTTAATAGTAGAGAGTAATTTCGGCGATATGGCCTATACAAAAGAAAGGAAAAAGTCAGGATAATTTTATAGGATGACGGCATAAAGTATATTTACTAACCTTAGCTAATCCGGATGGACATTGTGAAGGGGATGCATCAGAAGGTAACAAAACGCGAGTGTCTGTAGTAATAGAAAACAATTATTATCATTTTAGTTATATATATATATATAATATTAAAGAATAAGATATCTTACCAAGAAAATCTGTGAATATAATAAATGTTGGAAAGAGAGAAAAGAGAGAAAACTTGTAAATGAAAAAAAAAACAAAAAGAACAAAAGACCAAAGGGCCAAAAGGCCAAAAGACAGAAATCATATATTGGATTGAGTTGAAAAAAGCATGTTCAAAGCCGATTTGCACCCCGTTAATTCCAGGAAGTATTAATAGAGATATGCGTATTAAAGAAATCCTGAGTATTTACAGCAACAAGTGTAATATAATAAATGGGTTCTTGCTTTTACTTTTACCATCTTTCCATTAACTACACTTTATTCTTTCGCTTAACACCTAACTTCTTTTGTATGTTAATAACACTCTATATATACAATGAATAGATATATAAAACAAATATAATTAACAATCAACTCATGTATAACATTTTATTAGATAGCTTTCAGACCATGGTTAACAATCATCAGTCAATTGCCCCGGCTCCATCCCCGGAATATACTGAGCTTTTAAGAAGGCTCACCGCTATGGAGGAAAGTCTCAAGACCATGGATTCAAACATTGGCACTGTCATCAAGGGGAACAAAGATTCATTGGAAATACTTGATAGCGTTGCCAATGCCTCTGGAGAACTTCTTGCAGTTATTGCTCCTACCACTATACCTGCTTCTGCTTCTGTCCCTTTCGCAGCTTCTTCTGTTGGTTCTACTCTGGATTGGTATACAACACCTTCTGAGGCTTTTTTTGGTATCTCTTCTGCTGCTCCTTCTGTTGCTCCTTCTGTTGCTCCTTCTGTCGCTCCTTCTGTTGGTCCAGTGGTTCTTACTGGTGCAAACGCTGGTGAACTTAGTAAACAGGATCGCACTAGAGTTTTAGTAAGTGTTGAGATGTACAGTAGCTCATCAACATAATATCTCACACTAAGTATAGGCTCTTATCCGAGGAGAGTTGAAGAAACACAACTTCAAATCAAATAAGCCAGAACTAGTTGCAGCTAACGACAGCAAGTGCAGTTGGGATTTTAATGTTGATTACAGACTTCCACCCAACAGACAGCTGATGCATGACCTTCATGCATACCTGGCTCCAAAGGTTGTTGGGACTAGTGTTCGACAGGCCGATATTAGCGATTGTATCTACACAAACTTTTGTGGAACGAGACGCCGAGTCAAGGAATCCTATGAAGCGCGCAAAAAGACAAATTCTTGGTCAAGAAAAGCAGGTCGAGAGACCGATGTATGTTAGAAGTATATTTTGATTGCAAATTAAATGTATTCATATTAATACATTTATAAACTAGCATTTTGACCGTCGCGAGCTGACCTACCATACATTCAAGGCTGAAATTGATATGAAGGTGGGTAAGAGCTGTGACGGACTCTTACAGAAAGAAGCAATGTCTGAGGGCGAATCTGAAGACGATATGCCTGGAGTCTCGAGCAACCGTGCGATTCGTACAGTGCGTCCAAGTTGGAGAAGCGATGAGGTAATTTCTTTTGTTTACATTATTGTATATAGCTTTTTTTTTTGTTTTTTTATGGATTTAAATGAAACAGAACTTTGATTAATCACTTATTTGTATTTAGTACAATCACTTTCTTGCAGTTGTTGATGATTTTATGCGTAATCGCATGGACTTCAATTCGCATCAGATGTTGAAGAGGTCCTTCGGTAGAGATGCTGTTTTAGCAGTCCCGCCTAGATTGACGTCCCTTCTCCCTCACTGGGCTTTTAGAGATGAGTTTCAATAAATTTTGTTTTCTTATCCTCTACATCCTCCGCATCCTCCATCTGACAATGATAAATGTACCAACAAATACAAACACTATGATTATTCTTTTCTGTGTGCCTTTAAAAAAGGGAGTTATAATTTTATTATTTTTTAAATGTATTGTTTTTTTGGCAAAGGAATGACCAGCATCTTTTTTACTTTTCTGCGTGTTGTGTGCTCAGCAGTTGCTACTTCTAACATAATTCTATGCACTGGCAATACACATTGGAAATCGTCAGGAGAAAATGTTGGAAAGCAGGTTTCAACGTGTTCGTACTCTCGCGATTTATCATTTTCGGGTGTGTACCATTTGATAAATGCAAAAGTATGTTGAGAATTGTGAAGAAGTTGTGTTGGGCGGCGATGGGTGCGGAGCAAGGGAGTAAGGGATGAAGAGGTAGGTGGAGGAGTGAAAGAATGGGTGAAAATGTACTGTATTTGACCCGTGTATGCGATGATATGCTCACCAGTACTTCCAATGAACTTTGCTTGTACAAGAGAGCCACGACTTCCAGATTCACCTTTACCCTTGTAGACCTGCCCAAGGATGTTGATGTATTTCAACAGGGTGATTGTATTGTCGACAAAGTATGATGATTCTGACGCTTGTTGAAAGTGAACTAATTGTTCATTGTTGTACGCAACTTTGTAGTATTGTAAGAGATGAACATAGTGAATGTCACTCATTGTGGTAGCGGATTTTAATGATAGAGGGAATGCGGAAGGAGGGAGAGGTTCGTTGCCTTTTACAAGTACATTTGGATCTTCAGAAGCCTCGACAAATGACTGTATGCGGAAGGTACGTTGACGGATAGATGGAATGGTGGCGGGTGTAAAGGAAGAAGTGAGTTTGGTAAGGAGAGGAAATGCAGATGTCTGGCAGGTACTCTGAAGGAAACTGTTGACAAGATCGTCTTTGTGCACATCTTCAATAAATTTCTTCATAAATGTTTCTTCAAACCCGATCTTCCTGTTTGTCTTCAAATTTTTTAACAACCCGTTAAACCGCTCGAACCCGAATAGCCAATAACCGTACACTGGTCCAAAATCACGAATTGTATCTCGAAGATGGAGGTGTAGGTGCATATTACAGGTGAGGATTTCGGCATTGTACAGCTCGTCACATCTGGTGCAAAAAGTTTGAAGAAACTGATGGGCAGTGTTAACTTCATCGAACGTGATCGTTGGCTTGATCAACAGGCGGCATGCATCAACAAAGTTAATCCAGTTTTCGAATCTGTCTTTTGCAAGAACATCTTTCAACAGAACTGGCGAGTATATGAGCACCCATGACTTCCACTCGTCTGCCTTCATATACGAAAACTGCTTTCCTATTTTCGAGTTCAAAGAGGTGTATCCACCAGGCACAATCATCGTTTCTGCAGTCTTCTGCATTGCCGCAAAATCGCCATCTTGAATGTCTTCGTCTTTGATCCAACGATCCATCAATCTTTTAGGCGTTCCCAGGAATAAATTATGCATGGGATCGATGATCGTTCCACGTACTAGATCAAGGTATCCAAGGCGATGCAACTGCGACCATCGAACACCATTTTCGACCTCCAGCTGATGCCTTTCTGAGGGGGTACTAGCACTTTCCCACTCCTCAGCATGCAACCTGTTCTCTACACCGTCACGAAGCACCCACCAAGAGAAGTCAAACCCGCGAAAGTCAACATTGACACCGTTTTCCAAGCGAGGGAAATGTCTGTTGCACTTGTAACATGCGCATGTACTGTTGTGCGAGGTGAAACCACTTGTCTTTCTTGCTGCCGGGATGTCACAGGCCACCATCATCAATGCGGCATGGACGCGGACACCACTAGGACACTCGAAAGTTGGGATTGCCAGTCCCTCATACAATCTTATCAGATCATCTACCATAGGCCGGAGATAATGGTTTATCTCTTTGGATTTGGGTTCCTTTGGGCCAGGCATCAATCCTACGAGAAGTGTGTTCTCTGGCTTGTATCTTTCATTGCGAGGCAGATTGTTTACTACCAGGTATATGGCACCAGTTGAGTGCGTGATGTTATTGAAAGGTTGAAACCAGTCGATGTTGAGAGTCAACATTAATGAACGCGAATCCTTTGTGAATTGCACACCATCTTTGTCTTTGAGCTCCTTCCACATGGCACCGTCGTATATGTCACACATCGTATCCACCATCTTCAGCTCGTGATTCCAATGTCTAATTTTATCCTCGAATCCTGGACGAAGAAAAAACATTCGTAAAGTATTAACAATGGACTGGTACAAGTATGAACGCTTGGCCACCAAAGCACCCGATGCTGATGTTTTCATCAATTGGCAGTTGCAAGACGAGCGTGCACCAAGCTTTACAAAATCGCAATGAGACGGGACAGATGCACTTTCTTCGTACACCTTGTGACAATCCTGACACACAACAAATTTCTTTATGCCTTTGGTCATGGCTGAGAAACCTGTCATGCGCTGAAGACCAGGAAGGCTCAAGGGCAGTTGGAAATCCTGCTGGTAAATTGTCAAAAGCTTGTTGATGAACTCGATCAAGACAACGGCGCCCTTGTCAACCACATAGTGGGAAGCGAACATCACCACAAAAGTAGCAATGAACCTGTGCACTGGGTTCTGGGGCATATCGGGGGTGGCAAAAGGGTCTATTATAAAAAAAAATTAACGCTTTTTTTTTAAAAATTTTTTAACACTAACTGACCTTCACTATTCAATTCATTGTCGTCGAGCTCAATAACATCGTCTTCGCTTTCGTCTTCACTGATTTCATTGCTGTTGCTTCCACTGTCATCATTGTCGCCATTGCTGATCGCGTCATTAGTAACGGAAACGTCTTCAGTGTCAGACATTGAAGCTCCTTCCCAAACAGGTGAGTTTGTCTGAGTGTACGATTCTTTCAGGGTTCCGGGTTGATGGGTTAAGATAGCTACATTTAGAATATAACACTTGGTTAATACCTAACAGTATCTGAATTAAATAAACCTTACGTTCATCATCGACCTCCATCATATTTCTTTGGGTAGACATGTCTATTACAACACGTTATTTCATGGATTACAATACAATTAAATAAATTCAAATATTGTACCCCTTTCACATCTTATGGCATTTAGTCTTGCCCTTTTGTTATGACGTTGAGCAGTTCTTCTGGCAACAAAACTATAGCCGAGATCGTTCTGACTACATCCAGCACAATGGCACTTTTCGTTGTAGAGTTCAGGAATTGTGGACATAATGTTTATTTATTTTTACTTTGAAGTGTTAAGAGAAAAAGGAAACAAGTACAACGTTTACTAAATTTACTATGTCTTTATAATGAAATGTTATGTCTTTATAATAATAATAATAAATAATATTTTCGCCTGTTGTATCCAAGCCAATAGAAAACCGGAAAACAGTGTTTTCATCTTGAACACACAAAAAAAGCTGAGATGAAAAAATACCCCAGATTTTCTATTGTTATAATTTAACTTTGTACATGGTAATTCCCGTATGTTTTTCTAGTGATATGTATAAGATTGACTAATATTCACTTATATATATATCAGATCAGCTGTTATCAGCTTACATAATCTTGCATAATTTTGCATAATCTTGTATAATCTTGCATAATTTTACATAATTTTGCATAATTTTGCATAATCTTGCATAATCTTGCATAGTTGTATAGAAACACATATAAAAAATATAACAAAAGAAAGTTTGTATAACATATGTCATTATGCATATTTGCATAACATAAATAATACAAATGTATTACTGAAAAAAATTAGTAAATTATGGCTATACTTGTTATATAACATGCATAATCATGCATAATCTTGCATAAATGATCTACGTAAACAATACAGCTGAATTCGTGAGAAAAAATGCTAAAGAATAGCTTTTTTCCGGAAAAATTTCCTTTTTTAGTTAGTCTGAATATAATTAGCGTGAGAAATCTTGGCATTTTTAGTGTGGGAAGATAGGTTATATAAATAGTAACTATGTAAAAGCTTGGCATGGAAAAACATTAACCTTAAACTATCAAAAAGCCGTCCGACAATAATAA